TTAACGACGCCAAAAGGCCGATCTCTTTCTGTTGGAAATGGAATGCTGCCGTCTGAAATTCCAGTGGAGCTCTAAAGGTGACCACCCTAATATTCTGACTTGGGATTCGTGTGTGATTTAACCATCCTAGATTTGGTGTTTAATAGAGTCGTTGCATATCCCACCTGGTTGTGACCTGATGCTGTCCACAGAGATGGATTTGAGCCTGATTAGAAGGATGATGCTTTGTTTGTGGTCCTTGCTTCAAATATAAAGCTGAGGACATTGCTTTGGCCTTTCGTCATAAACAGGAGCTGCTCTCCTGTCAAGTGACCTGCAGCGTCGTTCCACTCGGCCCACACAAAAGGTGAAGACAGCATTGGGAAAGGACAAGGACAGCAGCTGAGCCAGGGTGGAGACTCTGTATTAATTAACCTTTGTGGGATGTGCCCAGGAATGTTGGAGGTGTCCCGTATCCACGGAAACCGTGCTGACAGGGTTCAGAGCAGAGGTCTCTCAGGGCAGCGTCTCTGACACTGTCATGGCAACTAGCACAACGTGCGTCTCAGTGCCACCAGCTCTGGCCTCCAGACAATGCCGTGCCGTGACAGGTGCACCTGATCCTTAAGCCACCAGTAATACTCATCCAAACAATCCGTGGATTGTCTCTGCTACTCATATCTCATAGCTGTAAACTTCAGTCCCATAAGACCAAGGCAGGGTCAGTTGTGTGTGTTGTCTTCGTAATAAAAGTGCTTTCAGATTGGAATAAGAATAGATTCTGTTTTGCTTTATCCCTTTAGTATTTGGTAACGACAGCCTCAAAAATAATACTGTTGAAGTGTATTTAGTCATTTTTCTTTCTTTTCTTTTTTTAGAGGGGGGGTGGGGGGGTCCTTAGTCGCGGTCCAACAGTGACTTGTGTTTATATTGCAAAACCACTAACATGAAGAAGAAAGAAGAAGAAAATATCATTTCTAAAGCGCCTCTCAAGATAAAAATTACGAGGCGCTTCACAAAAACAAAAAATGTGAAAATATAAAAAAGCATTTAGAAAATGTTTTAAAATATATTAAAATGAGCAAAAAATAGGAAATTGTGATTAAAAAAAATGTTAAGAAAGAGAGAGAGTGAACAGGAAAGAGGGAAATCAGTGGATCCTGAGGAAGCTGGAATAGGTGGGGAGAGCTGAATAAAGAGAGAGGGGTGAAGAAGGTCATACAAAAGCCAGCTTGAACAAGTGAGTCTTCAGCTGCTTTTTAAAGGAGACCACTGAGTCCACTGATCTCAGGCTCAGGGGGAGAGAGTTCCAGAGTCTGGGGGCCACAGCAGCAAATGATCAGTCACCTTTGGTCTTTAGCCTGGTGCTGCACAACCAGTAGGCTTTGATCACTGGACCTCAGGGACCTGCTGGGGGTGTAGGGACTGAGAAGATCACCAATGTAAGATGGTGCTTGTCCATGTAAGGCCCTAAAGACCAGAACCAGGATCTTGAAAGTCACCTCTTTCTGTATGACCTCATCGGTACTAAATGAAATCCTGGTCCTCTGCTTGACAACATTTCAGGTCCGTAAAACTTGACTCTTTAAGCCGTAGTTGTCAACCTCCTTTCCCATGACGGACTCTGTTTCTGTTAATGGCACGATATACATCACAATGCCCTAGTGCCAAAACACAACATGGCGGCACCTTTAAGCAGGATAATTTACAGTGCTCAGCATTAATTTGTCAAAAAAAACCTTTAGTTTCCTTTCAGAATTAACATTTTCTATGAGATACCGTGCTACAAAATAATCCCCAGTGATTGCAAACAGTAGTTGCTAATTTGCACACCCAAAACGTGTAATCATGTTTGCTTCAACCAGCTTTAGTAGAACTGAAGATCTTGTGATCTAAGTTATATTATTAAACTAACTTTCATGTTATTGAGTTAACCAAGTGTTCAGTAAAACCAGCCTTGTGAAAATTCTGGAATTTGTTCTTTTGTTCACTGAGCTGCTGATTAAGTTTGTACTTTTTAAAGGGGGTGTACACTTTTATGCAGAACACTGTAGCTTCAGCTTTCAACAACACCAAGAGGTGGAGACACTTTACTATTACAAAGGGTGATTCATGCTTAGCCTGGCCTGCCAGACTCGTCCTCTGTTTAATTCTGCACAGAGTCTGGTTGCTCACAGATAGAGAGGCTCATGAGGGGCGGGACTAGCCAGCTCAGAAATAACCAATCAGAAAAAAGGCGGAAATGCCAACTGTAACGCGTGGCGGTGTAGTTTTTTTTAGCTTTAGTCAAAAATGGTGTCTGGCAATGGCGCATACATGTTTTTTTTTTTTTTTTTTTTTTTTTTTTTTTTTTTTTTTTTTTGACGAAAGGCTTTTAGCGCTTCTACTTGTTGTGGATTTCAAGACGTGTTCAGGTCATTTAGACCAGAGGAAAGAACCGCAGCGAACTCCGCTTCAGTCGCCATCTTTGTTGTTGGAGCGTTGTGGTGTGTGACGAATGCTGCTCAGCGCTGATTGGCTCGGGTAGGATTCTCAAGGGGTGGGGTTATTTGAAGAGAGTTCCCTGATGGGGCTGGCTGGTCTTTCAAACCCAAGTTGTTTTGGTTAGGGATGCACGATCAGGTTTTTTTGCTGCCGATCACCGATACCGATCACCGATACCGATCACGTGGATTGGCCAGAAATTTTCTACAACATTATGATGAGTGCTACACACTACATAATCTGGGAATAAAGGAAATGTAACCTAATCTAAAATGGTCTGTATTAGGGTTGTCACGGTGTGAAAATTTAACCTCACCGTTATTGTGACCAAAATTACCACGGTTTTCGGTATTATCGCGGTATTTTTTTTAAACGTGATACATTTGCACACAATTAAATAAACCCTGTATGTCAGGAAATATTGTCCTCAGTTTGTGTCTAAATTTTGCCTAAAATGTGTTATTTTGTAATTATGTTGTTTATTTGTTTACATTTTCCCCTTTAGTCTTTAAAATACCAATATTTGCCCATAACTTCTTATTTTATGTCTGTTTGATGTCATTTAAAAATATTAGATCAGATGATACTCAGTACTCAAGTAGCCTTCTAATCAGATACTTTTTTACCCTTACTTGAGTAATAAACCCTATATCAGGAAAATACTGTCCTCGGTGTGTGTCCTTCCAGTGAGCTTTGCAGATTTGGGAAAATGTCATCAGGCAGTAATCATTGTTAAATTCATAATTATTCTCGGAGAGAGACCAACTCTTATCTGTCCCTGGGAGCCCCGTAATGCATAGCGTCATTTCAACATGGGGGTGTCCGCGACACGGTTTATATGCAGGTAGCGGCGCTGCGGCTGCTTTATATAGCGACTCGTTGCATTCTCCCTCAACCCAAATCCTCGGATCACGCATTTTAGCTAAAACGCTAACGTTAGCTTGCCTTGCTTTGACTGTAGAGTTGTGGGTGATGGTCACACAGATGTGTCATGAGATTTGAAGCGTTGCTGCCTTTCACAGACACTTTTTCTGCACGTGCTGCAAACAGGATAGCCGTCTTCTATAAACTCCCTCGGCATTCTTCAAATATCCAAAAGATGCCCGTACTTCCGACTTTGTCTTCTTTGAGGATAATAAATGTCCTCCTGAGCGTTGCCGTCTCCTCCTTTGACCATTATTTCAGCTTTAGCTTCAAGAAAGTTTTGTTGTAAACAACAAAGCGCGCATGTGCCGCCGGCTACTTCAGCTGATGATACGGTGGCTGGTAAGGGTCACCGCGCCTACACCGCAGCCACGGTAAACCCACCAAGATAATATAGTTTTTTAAAAAACAAGACGGTTATTATTATTGTCAACTTTTTTTTTTTTACCGGGGTTTACCGCTACACTGGTTACCGTGACAACTCTACCTGATCGGTTTGCTTTGATCTATTTTGAAAATTCCGATCAAAACCGATAGGGGCGCTATCGGCCGATTACGATCAAATGCCGATCCATCGGTGCATCCCTAGTTTTGGTCAGGTGTAGAGCAAAAAGGTGCAGCTCCTTCCTAAAAAGCAAATAATCTCCAATAGAAAATAAGAGGATGCTTAGACTTTTGCATTGATGTTACTAATTTTTTTAAATCACAGCTCATCAGATCTCCAGACTTGATCCTGTTCATTATGGCCCAGTAGTTGCTGCTTCAGAAACCTTGTGGTTTGATCAAGGGTAACTTTCCACACATAAGCGTGGCCCGGCTGCCCTGTCTTTAGCACAAAGAGCTTTGTGTCTTCAGCTGATCAGCCATTTAACGTTAAACGTGCTAATATAGGCTTCTGAGATGGAGCTCCTTGTGTCTGTGATGATTTTTCTCTTTGGCATTGTGTTAACACGCGCCTGAGCTAAGACCTTAATTATTAAAGACATTATGCAACAATTCAGATGTATTCACCTAATACTTTATACTTGTTTAATGCCCAGAGACTATTTCACGGTGTCCTCTGTGTTTTCAGACTGTATGTCCTCATACTTCTGCTCATTCGTGTATTTAAGCAAGCGTGCTTCTGTTGGTGGGTGGGTGGCTCTTACTGTAGCTAGATGAAGGGTTGTGTGGTTTTAGATGAAGCTCAATTGCAAACGGAGTCGGGGGGGGGGGGGGGGGGGGGGCTAATCCAGTGAAATGGCAAGCTGCATAAAGAATTATGCACAGCTCTCAGAAGGCCCTTCACTTTTGAAAGACACAGCCGTGAGAGGCTTACAGCTCAAGACCTGAATGTTTTCAAGGTAGTGAGCTTGAATTTTCAATTTGAATCCAATCAAGGCTCATCTACATGTGTTGTGTGTTGGGTGGCTGTGAGGGAAGAGTGCAGAGAGAAGGAGCCGTGTGCAGTCAATCTGAAATGTTGCTAAGTAACAGCGATGGCAGACAAGGTGGGGAAATGAATGTGATATAGTGCTCTGCAAATCCCTGCTTCTCACATGGTTTCCTATTTTTCCCCTTTTTCCTTCCCCCACCACCCCTCCCTGTTTTCTCTCTATCTCTCACTTTTATAGATCTCCCCCCTCAGCTGTGAGCTCTACAGAGACACCACTGACAGAACAACAGACAACCATGGAATGCGTCAACATCATGGTGGTGGATTCCTGCTGACTCCTCGCTTGCTACTGGCATCAACCTGAATCTTGGCCTTCTGGGGTCCTGCAGCGTTTATAGGCATACAGCAATGCCTTGGAGGGCCGCCTGCCCCAGATTGCTTCCAGGCATGGTTGCTTCTTCAGCACGTTGCTGCTTGTAGCCTCTTCAGAACGATCCAAGTCCAGCGAGCGCATCCTTCTGCTCTTCTCTGTTCTCACCTGGCGCCAAGACCGGCCCTCTTTCTGGTGACTAACCAGTGCATGACTGAACCAGATGACCCAGATCACATTTATTTTCCAGTAGCAGTGCTAAGCAATACGAGGGGATCTGAGTATTGAACATGACTCATGGGGAGGAGCCTGGCCCTGAGACACACAAGGATTCAGCTGTTCTAACTTATCTGGAAGGTTTACTGATGCATCCAGTGGTGGCCGGGCCTGGGGCCACAGCAGGCGGGAGGTCCGAGGCTGTCCACAGCAATCAGCAACAGGGCAACAAGGTGGGGGGGTCCTTCCCACTAACTCACCATGCTCCAATAGCGCCCAAGGCTGGAACTAATAGACCGACTCTGGGTTCCTCACAACACCTGAAGAAGGCTCGCCTGCTGCGCTCCGGAGCGTGGAATGATCCGGGGAACCAGCGGCTGAGTTCACCCCCCATGGACCTGAATGGCCAAGTGGGAGGCCTGCAAAACGGAACGCTGGAGGAATCCCCTAATGCTGGAGAGAGCACCCTGTTGGCATCTCTGCTTCAGTCATTCACATCACAGCTTCAGAATGTGGCATTGTCTCAGAACACTAGTAAACCCACCAGTGAGTGTCCATCTCCAGCCAAGGCTCCAGCTGCAGACAAAGAGCCCCTACCTGTTTATGGGACAGCCTCCAGCCGCTTGAAAGGCCTCATGCGGAAGAGCAAACTACAGAATCACAACAACACCCCTTACAGCCGCCGTGGACACAGCCAGGACCGGCCACCAGAGTCCCCTCGATCAGCACACAGCGCCACGCCTCCTGCTGCTCCTGCTGAGTCGGTGTCCTGTGCTGAGCGTTTGAAAGCAGTGGCTAACTTGGTGAAAATTCGTTCTAGCCCCGCCCCCTCACCAAAGCCCAGCGTGGCCTGCAGTCAGCTTGCTCTGCTGCTGTCCAGCGAAGCACATCTGCAGCAGTACTCCAGAGAGCATGCTCTCAAAGCCCAGCTCTCAGGGAGATCAGCCAGCGAGAGACTGGCTGCAATGGCCAGCCAGCAGCACGACACAGACAAAAGGCCTCCAAGTGTTGGGGGGTCTCCAGACACACTAAGCTCCTTAGCAACTCAGAATGGAATGACAACTACCACGATGATGGCAACACTCCCTCGGACGGCAGTGTCCAGTCCTCAGAGCCCATCCCTGCTGCGTGGCCACAGCCAAAGCTCCCCACCCGCTGCTCCCCACGCGCCGAGCCAGCCCCCCAGAGAGAAAAGAGGCTTTGATGCTCGTCCAGTCCGCCCACCGCAGACATGCAGCAGCTTGCTGCTGCTGCTGCTGAACAACCACAACAGTCAGAAGCAGCTGACCAAGAACGGACACCTGGAGGACATCGGTGGCCTTCTGCCTCCAAGCGGCTCCTCTTCTGTCACGTCGGACAGTGAATGCTCCACCCATGAGAGAAGCATGACCAAGGACAGCAGTGATGCTGAGAGCTCCTACTCCAGCTGTTCCCCAATTGACCTCTCCATGAGAGGTCGTGGCAGTGCTAGTGCACAAGACACTGGGCCCAAAAATGCTCCCTCTTCTTCCTCTTCCGTCACCTCTGTGCTCTCTTCCTGTACCATGGTGCTGTCTTCCACCCCAGCATCATCCTCTCCTCAAGCCAGTGCTCAGCCCTCCACTTCATCCTACTCACCTTCTTCTTTGACTGTCTCCTCTGTATCCACTGCTATTTCTTCATCCTCGTCCTCCTCCTTCCCTACCTCCTCCCTGGACAAGCTAACGGAGTCTTTAATAAACAAGTGGAAACCAGAGCCATCCAGATCAAACGTCTCCAACAACAAGGAGCCAGAAATGAGTCCGGACCTAAAATCCCACCCGAAGGTCACTCTCATGCAGCTGCTGCTCGAGCGCAGGAACTCTGAGATGGCTAGCAAAAGCAGCGGGACACAGGACTTGCCTCTTGACATAACTATGGCCACCATGTCTCAAAGTCAGCAGAAAAGACTGATGTCCTGGGAGGAGAGCAGAACCAGAAGCTCCATAGAAAAGTCAGCAGGTCCGCCCCAGTCCCTCTACTCTTTTAGTCAGGACCCGAGTGGTGCACTTTCCCCGTATTCTTACCCCTCCCCCCATGTTCAGTCCAGCCCACTAGATTTGTGTAAGTCTAAAGCCTTCCCAGCTGAGAGGTCCTCAGAGCCAGCCTTTAGTGCCAGTAAACTGTTGCAGAATCTGGCCCAGTGTGGCACCACCACCTCCTCCTCCTCCTCCTCCTCCACCCCGCCCATCCCCTCCAGCAAAGGCCTGGGCCAGGAGATCGACACCAGCAGGCCCCTGGCCTTGATGGAAAGACTTAATGCTCCAGTCCACCGGACCAGCACCACTCCACTGTCAGATGGAGCATCAGGCAGCGGCACACCTTTCATTCACAAGGAGCCGTCCACTCCCTCCTCACAGATCGAGAACCTCCTGGAGAGGCGCACTGTGCTGCAGCTTCTTTTAGGAACCGGGTCGGCCGGCAGTACCACCAGCCGCAAAGACAAGTCCAGTGGTGGTTACCGGAGGAGTACTGAGGCAGCTGGGGGGTGCTACGAGACCAGCCCTGCCACCACTGTCCTTTGTGACAGCTCTAACGAACCTATCTTAGATGTGAAGGTAAAGTCTGAGCTCACAGAGGAGGCGGGGCCACCTCCTGCCAGGTCTGAGGACTTTAGCAGCAAAAAGAGACTGAGTGGCTGTGAGAAGAAAAGCCAGCTCTCCGACCCTCAGCAGGACTTGAAAACAGAAGCGCGGCCGCCAGAGGTCATAGCTAAATACGGCCTCCTGAGCCAGCTGCTCAAACAACAGACTGCCACCTACTACACTAACTCTGCAGTGCTGCTGGAGTCCCAGTCCACACAGGTGAAGGAGGAGCAGAGGGACTATCCCAGCCCCGTCCCTAAGAGGAGACGTGTCTGCCCTGAGCAGTCAGAGGGTTTGAGTCACATCAGGTCTCCAAAAGCAGTGGACGGTGGTTACACAAACATGTCCGCCTCTCCCACTGTTCAAGTGGAGCCGGAGCAGCAAAGGAGTCTGAAGGAGGAGGAGGTTCCACCAAGCGAGACCCTCACTAGGGAGAGCCGTGGCTTCAATGTTCTGAAACAGCTGCTGCTCTCGGACAACTGTCTGAAGGAACTGTCCCAGCAGCCACGTGGGACGCCCAGTCCCGCGGCCCTGAAGGCCAATGGGAACAGTCTCTCTCAGCCTGCCCACAGCTTCCTCCACACGCCCAGCTGGCACCCCCATGGCTCCCTCAACTCAGGGCTTCCGAGTAATCTAAGACCACTGCCCACCCCTCCCTCAGACAGCACCCCCGTCCGCTTCCCATGGGTCCACCAGCCGGCTCCATGGCCTGTCGCTCAGAAGCGAGAGCCCCCGACTCTGGTCAAGCAGGAACCCGAGAGCCCGGTCCGGTGGGGCAGTCAGGAGAACGACGGAGAGGAGGAGGGTTGTGACTCGAACCCGGACTCGCCGCGGCTGTCTCGCTCTAACCCCATCCTCTACTACATGCTGCAGAAGGGCAGCCTCCAGCTGAGGAAGGAGGCGTACGATCAGGGAGACGGAGTCCAGCCTGTGGTCAGGGTTAAGGAGGAGCAGATAAGCGACATCCACGCCTATGAACGCAGCCTGAGCTCCACCCCTCAGTCACCAACACACAACGACAAGCACAGCCACGAGAGCCAGGGGCTGAGCCAGTCCTTCCAGTAAGACTGTGGCTCCACCACAGGAAGTAGAAGCTGTTCATTGACTCTATTTAATTTAGGGTTTTATTTCTGGTTTTGGGGATGAGTTGCTAAACTGGTTTTGTAAGAAAGTGTGTGGTTCTTTATCTTTTTTTTTTTTAACCATGGTGTCACTGTTTGAATCCTACCTGCTGAGGTCACAGCAGAGGCAGCGTTGCTTTGGTCTCGATGGTCCACGTGAATCCCACACGCATCACTTCCCTCTGTTGCCTCTCATAAACCTTTTACACAGAACATTTCATAGTGATGACTCAAAACATGCCAGTGCTCACTTCAGTGCACACTTTTTATTTTCGCCACCAAAGCGTTCTCAGATACAGTCTCATCAGCTTTAGACAGGAGCGCCGTCCCGGGGCAGACGCGGTGGTCTAGCACAGCGGCACTCGTGCTTAGGAGGACCTGCGGGCTCTTCGGTGAGGAAACGGAGGCTTCTCCTCGAGTGCCGCGGCTGTGGGGAAAGAACCCACCCGTGGAGATTCGCTCAGTTTTTTTATTCGTGCTGAACCTTTAAGGCTGACATTCAAGAGTGCAAATTCAGGATGCCGTGAGCAGGATGAGCGCAGATGGGTCAACAGAAACCGCGTGGCTCTTAAACTTGAGCAAATGTGTGTAAACGGGTTTCTAGAGCAACAGTCTATAGGCTGCAGCTTATCTCAGCAGACTGGTAAAACTCACACCAGTTTTCCTTGTGCGCGCGCACACACACACCACACACACACACACACACACACCTCTTTCTGTGTATGCCATAGAAATAAAACTACCTGGAGTTTGCACTTTTGAGACTGAGCCTTTTTTAACTAATGATTTCTTGGCATGTGATGGAACAGTGTCAGTATTGTTATCTGCAGAGAGAATGACCGTTTGTGAATTTTATTTTCTAGCATTTTATTCCTGTTGTGCTCGATGGACATGTTTTATTTTTGTGTCGATGTCTTGTTCATAAACTGTCAAAAGAATTGCATGATGCTGATGAAAAGAAGACCACGGTACTTTGTTTTAGCAGCAGCTGGATTCGTGACCCTGCCTGCCCACTAATCACCAAGGCCTTTGTGTCTCGAGGGAGGTCTGGCATCCAGCTCTTTATTTCTGATTGTACTGTATTCTTTCTGCTTGATTTCATTCTGCTTATCCGTTTAGTCTCGTGGTCTTTTTATGACATATATTAATGACATATGTCTGCAGTTATTAATACATTTTCACAATGATTAAATATATTTGTGTATATAGTACTTTCAGTATGAAAAATTACTATTTTGTAATGTTTAAAAAAAAGATAAGACCCTAGTTTTTAATGCCCTGATATGTAAATATGAATTCTATGCGTACAGGTGTACATATGAAGGCTGAGGATACTACACCCATCTCTTTTTGGTTGGTTGGTTCTATGCATGTGTCTCAATGTGGTAAATGATAATCTATCCTGCGCTGTGTTGTGTAACAATGTCTGACTCTCCTCACTGCTGCCTGTTGCATGCAGACGCATGGGAACTACCTGTGTATCCCTACTGGTGATGGGAGAAAATGTCAAGTCTTAAAATAGATTTTTTTTATCGCAGAGCGAGAGGTTAGCACAGAAAACGAGCAGCCTCCATATAACAGACTGAGCAAGGTGATGAAAGTGTGTGAAAAATAAACATGCATTGAATATTTTTGTGATTTTATTTTCTGTTACTGGTTAACTTAGCTCTGTGAACAAGCATGGGGCTCTAGTGTGGGATTGACGTACAATCATAGATCTGCATTGTGCATCGAAGAAATACATTTGTAGCAGCAAACTATAAATATATACATATATATGTATGTATATGTGTATACATCTATATATATATATATATATGTGTATATATATATGTATACATATATGTATATACATATATCATTAAATACATATATATATATATATGTATGTATATATATATTTATATACACACATATATATATATACATACACACGTATATATATGTGTGTATATGTATATTTATATATATATATTATATATACATATGTATATATGTGTGTATATGTATACAGATACATGTATATGTATGTATGTATATATATATATTTATATACATGTACACACACACACACACATATATATATATATATATATATATATATATATATATACATGTATATGTATATTTATATATATATATGTGTATGTATATATATGTGTATATATATATATGTGTGTGTATATGTATATTTATATATATGTGTATATATACATACACACATATATATACATATATGTATATATATGTGTATATATACATACACACATATATATATATATACATATATGTATATATATATGTGTGTATATATATATACATACATGTATATGTATGTGAAAATGTCTTTTTTCATGTGAAGACCTGAAATATTTCATTTTTTTTTAAATGTTTTCATTCTTGGTGTTCATTTGCACTGATATCTCAGAAATAAAGTACTAAAATGCATGACCTAGTATGGATGTCTTCTTGTTTTTCCGTGTTGCTTCTAAATATCAGCTTAAGAGGGAATATGAGTTTTTTTTAAGGTAAAACAAGTCTTCTGATCTGGGGATTTTTGAACAAATAAAACTTATCAAAAATTAGCGCTTAGCTTCTCTGATTTTTTGACCTTGGGTGTCCTGAAAGGCGCTTTTAAATAAAATGTATTATTATTATTATTATTTTCTGACCGCATGAACCGAGCCATGAAAGTTTTCAGCAATCACAGATCAGCTGCGCTCTCCAGGTTCAGCAGCATTTTAGTATAAATGCAACTGATTAATAGTCTGTTATTCCTCGCTGATGTTTGTGGGAAGTGTTTTGATTTGAACCAGGCCAGAGTAAGTTCTGTTGTTTTAAATGAAATTAGTCTTTCGTCCTACAGGGTTCTTCATGTGGCCGGTCGCTTTTACAGAAATCTTTAATAAAGCAGAACAATAATTAGGGAAATGTGGCTTCTGCTGCTCCCAGCACCAGACTCTGGCCTGATATGAAAGAATATTATTTTTTTAAAGAACATCAAAGCCGAACAGCTTTCTGTGATCAAATACTGGTTTATTTAAGTGGGGCGGGAGGATGTCCTGTATTTGCCCCAAAACTGGTGCTGCTGGTGTGGCTGCTGCTGTCCTCACAGCCGAGTCTTAACAAAGGCAGGAAAGGTTCGGTGAGGCGGGATGGAGGTCACCAGATGTCCTCCAAGGGGACGTCTCTGACACCGACTCAAAAAATTCATAATAGATGTGGTTGTGTTTAAAGCACTGAATCATTTAGTCTGAGAACTGGTTTGTGTTGGAATCCTGGTGGAGTTTCTCAGCCTCCAGCGTGACACATGCCAGAGGTGAAGACGAGTTCAGCTTCCTCTAACTGCTGCTGAACATGGAGTCCAGCGAGCCAACAGACAGCTTTTTGTCTGCTGCGCACTTTTGAAATGCAGCGCAGTTCCTCAGCGATGACTTCCCTTTTCATTAAGTCCTCCCCGTGACCGACTGACTACGTGCTCTTTAAACTCTCAGTAACCTTTCCCCCCCAGTCAGCTTCTCCATTCTGAGATTCTTATCACGGCTGAACCGCACTAACCTCTCGATTCCTTGCGATTGCTGAGGCGGTGGCGAACATAAAGGAGTTAAGCAGAGGTCAAGGTGTAAAACGTAACAATTGGCTGTTTGTCTGCAGCGTCTCTTTGATTTCCTGACCTCAGCAGGAGGCTGAGTGGATGCCGGAGCCGAGCACCAGAACACGCTGACCCAACTGTAGGCCAAGGACTCCGGACGTTCCTCCACACGCGTTAGAAGTTCGCAGGCCTCCTAAGTCGTTTCCTACTTTAGATGCTTTTGTGTGACCAACAACTTAATGACAGCACTTACTGTGCTCAGACCAGAGGTCATCTACAGGGACGTGAACCACTAACTGCACTTGTCTCTAGGTGGTCTGTCTGCCCATACGAAGGCCATTCAAGCCCGGCGTAAGTTGTCATGGCGATCTGTGTGACGAACTCACAGATGTTTGACTGCCCTCCTCTCCTTGGGTGTTTGATCTCTGAGCACATGAACTGACCTCACACACACACACTAAAATCATTAGACGTAACGAGCATTTGAAAGGCCTGACCCCGTTCAGAGTCGAGTGAAGTGGACGTGAATCAACGCGGCTCGTTTTTCATGACGCCACCAGAGCCGCTGCAGCAGCCAGGTGAGAGAGAGCTCTGAGTCAGACAAACACCTGGGGCACTTCTGCTCCGTGAAACCAGGTCAGGGTGGTTTGTTTTCTCGACCCGGTACTGGCTGTCCCACTGGGACCGGAGTGTTTGAAGGTACACCTCTGTCACTCAGCCCTGGGGGGTCACGGCCTTTTGGCTCCACCTCCCATCCACTGACCTGGCTGATGTCTGTTTCCTGGGATGGGAGCAACTGTTGTCCTGCAGCTGTGTCCCCCCCTCCCCCCCTCCCCCAGCTGAACAACACTCCTCCAACTCCCCCTTCTCTTCAAAGCTTCAGCCATTCCTCTAAGGTTTAGAGCAGGGGTCCTCAATTATACCGGGGTCGGGGGTTAGGGTTAGACCCAGAAGCAAGAGGACCAGGGTAACCCTCCCTGACCCTCACTGCTCCTCGTAGCCTCCTGCTCTATCATCACGAGTGAATGTCTTCTGTCTGATGAGTCGTACGGAGAGAGCTCCGTTATTGGATGAAGATCCTGCAGGTGGACATTAACAGACCCGTAAACGCTCCTCCCTGAGCTCCACGCAGAAGCCTGGCAGCTTGGACGGATCCCAGCTGAACACGGGTGATGTTCGTCCTGTCAGAAAGGCGCAAGGGCAGATGTTTGGTGGCGTCGGGGGAAACGAGTGAAGCCCATCTCCTGTCTACCGCCTTTTACCTTCTCACAAATGTTCCTGCCTGTAAATGTGAACTCTTCAGCTGCACATGGCTGATCTGAGCCCTCCTGCAGATAGAACAGGTTTGCTCTTGACCTGACTCTACTCATATTCGACAGACAGCCAATAATAAACCACCATTTGTTTCCATTTTCCGACTCCTTCACGTGAAAGAAGTCATCATCCGGAAACGTGTTTCACCACTGACGCCCAGTAGGCTCTGGGGTTGATCTGCAGGGTCGTGAACTTCTCCAGTAAACATTTCTGGATAAGAAGGGCCAGCTCAGGGTTTACCAGACTGGGTGTGAACTTTGAGCTTTGGCCTGTTTAGAGTGATGCACGCTAAATCTACGTTTGTTCTTTGATGTTCCACTCAGACCAAACCCAAACGTTAAAGGGAAAGGTCCTCCTCCTCCACATCAGCGGTGTGTTTGTTCGTTTAGCACACACTTTTTGTTCAGCTGCTCCGACAAGCGTGTTTCTGGCCTGTGGGATGAAACCCACAGTGAGCTGGGATTCAAACTAGCAACCATGCTACCTGGTATGCCACCATGCAGGTCGTTATGGTTACAATAATAATAATAACAACCTGTTTTGAGATTTTTTCCTCTTAGATGGGTTTAAGTTCAGCTACGACCAATAACTTCTGTATCATTCAGCCCTTATTGATCAGAACAAATATGTGTTGTTGTTTATAACTGAGGTAGATGAGCAAGCTGGAGCTGAATGACCCTCGTTATATGCGATGGAAAAGATGATCCGGTCAGGAAGTGCGACTTGGAGACAGGCAGCTTTTAACCGCTTCATTATTTACTCCGTCACAAAATCAATGGCACCACTGTGCTGCAATGTTTAAAGAACAAAGGGAACACGCGGGATCACGTGGTTTAATCTAACAACACCCTCTCAGCCGAACGCCAGGACCTCGTCTTCCTCTAGTCTGCAGGTAAAAGCTCTCAGCTCACCTGTTCTCTGACGGATTAATATCCTGCTTGGCACGAACGGGCTGGAAGTGTGGAGAAGTCCCGGACACGGACGAGCCTGAATGTGAGTGGTTTGTTAAACCTTTGTCGGTGAAGTGATGTGCGATTGGGTTTGCTGCTCGTCCCTCAGATCCTTTCATCTATCAGAACATCAGCAGACATGACGTTGTTAAACTGCATTAAACACACTTCAGTCACTCTTTTACAAACAACAACAACATAGCAGTCACACGTGGATGCTCAAACACGTCATTCAGACCACACTTCATCTAGAAAGTTTTTGAGCAGCTTCAGTTCAGAGAAATGCCGATTATTTCTGAATTCCAAACGAACCGGCTGCCTTCAGAACCACGTCTTCGACAAAGCTACAGTCAGCTCACCAGACAACGGCAGCATAGGTGCTGGACTCACCTGTCTGACTTGCTGCCGACAGAGGATCCGTGCAGAAACTAATGACACATTTACCCTGAGCTGATGGTGTTTTGACACGAAGAATGAGGAGAAAACATAAAACTCCGAAGTGTTTTACTGGTTTGAGACACTGGGTTTGAGTGTTGCTGTGACTTCTTGTGTTTCGGATTGAGTCCTGGAGAAGGTAAACATCCAGAAACGGATGGATGGATGGTGTTTGGTCGTCTGACAGACAGAGGAGTCCCACATCCAGCTGGACAGCAGCATCAGAGACTCTACAGGATAAGACTGCCCTCTACTGATGAACACCACCATAGCAGCTCACCCTGGCCAACATCATGCGTCCATTAATATTTATATGTGCTACTTTATCGACACAGTTCCTGCTGATGGCTTCACTTCTAGCAAAATGGATTCCTGAGCATCAGAAGAGCGCCCTGGTTTTGAGTCAGACGAATAATCTCCCCAACATTTGGATGATTTTTCTGGCTGAATAATTAGGCCAGACTCCGAAAGGCTGACTTCAGGGGTTTTCTTCACAATTAAAAGTTTTTGATGTCATTCTGACAAAAGTTGTGATGCATTTTTGTTTTGTCAACCAGAAAACTAACATGTATTCGATAAATGTGCAGAGGTGTCCCAAAAGTGTGGTTTAATGTGAGGACTGAAGAGTGAATAAAAAAAGGACAATAAACTGATCTAAACCACTGGTTCATGTGAGACACATCCACACAAAAACAAATCTTCCCTGATAGAAATGAAACACACTTCCAAACAGTGATTGTCTGGAACAGAAGTGATTGTTGGATTATTCTTTTAAATGAATAAAAATAGAAAAACAAATCAGCAGTAGATGCACAAGAAAAACAATCTTTAAAGGCTTAAAATCCCTTTTCTGTGTTGCTTTTTGTTGATGGAAATGATAAAAAGCTTTTGGCTTTTGTTTCCACACTTCCAGGTGAGGCTGCTTTTCAAAAATGTATTTACCAGGTTAATAATAATAATAATAATAAGCCCCTCTGAATGCATGTTCTTTAAAAATGCCGCTCAAGTTAAGTGCTGGACTAGACAAAGTCACAGGAGACAGAAGATCGTTTTTTCTGTTTTTAAGTGTTTTGGATGCTTTGGCTTCATCAGACAGTCGCGTTATCCAGTGGCGTGTCCAGATCTTTTAGAATGGGGGTGGCCCAGATGAGGCACTACTTTGTGCATGGGTGACACCAATGGTTATGCTTCTTTTTTTTACCCCAAGCCTTTTGTGGACAATGAAAATACTATTTAAATGGAATTCAGTGTGGTGACACATGGGGTGGCCATTCAGATTCCAAGGGTGGCATGTGCCACCCCAGGCCACTCCCTGGACACACCCCTGGCGTTATCCTACACACTGATGGAGAAAGCTGCCTTTGCCAGGAATTTGGTTACAAAAGACACTAGGTCATTGAATTTGGGGACTATTTTGATGTTACCGGGTGGAAGATGATGGTCCATCTATCTGATTTTAAACAGATTATGGTTGTTTTTTCTCATTATAAAATTTGATAAATACAGTCAGACGGGTGAACTGCATTTCTATTTCTCACCCGTGACGTTGACGCAGTCGAGTCAGACGAAAGTAATCGATCCCAGCTCGTCGGCGGGCTAGAGCAATGTTTTCACGAGCTGAGCTAGTTTCTCTGCCATGGCGCCCGTAGTGTCGCTGGTTAAGGTGGGGACTTCGTAGCATCTTGTTTTGATTCGCTTCAGGAGCGAGTGCAGCTTGTGTTTCGCTGCTCCTAGTTGGACCTGACTCACATTTACCCCCGAACCGGCCATGACCGTGGAGCAGAATGTCCTCCAGCAGCATTCTCAGAAGGTATGCTGGCAGAAGATAACTTCAGAGCTAGCAAACTTTAGCATAATGCATAGCTTCAGAGTTTCAGGACACAAAGAATTTACAGCATCACTGTGTTGAGACGCTGGATAGTTGAGTTGGTTTTAAAGCGTTAGATGTCCTAATGGTTGGCCTTCCACGCTTGAGCTAAAGCTTTAAAGTCCTGTGTGGTAGCAGCAATTTAAAGGCCCAGCTTTGCGCTGCTGTTTGTTTACTAGCGTTAGCTAACGGTCCGCGCTAAAGGCGAGTTTACCCTAAACCCTGGCCATCTGTGGAGGTCCGGTCACGTTCGCCATATTTAGTCATTTATTGATAAAAAACAAACAACGTGGCACTCGAGGATCTAAATACGTAAAGATTTTAACAAGAAACCCAATCAAACGACACCCTTAACTGGCGTATTTAATTTTATTTTGGGACTTTGTAAATAACGTCGTTCCCTTTAACAAAAATGTTCACATTTCTCTTAAAATGTTAATTTTATTTGTGAATTGTATTCCAGCTTACCTATGATGTATCTGATGTGTTTGTTTACAAAACACGGCTAACTGGAATTCCACCCCAGTCCTGCCGCTTGGCGGTGATCCACAGCTGCTTCACAGCTGGACACGTTCTTTATTATCATCGTCCCAACCCATCATACTATGGCGAGTGATTTCTGATCACCAGCCGGAGAATGATGGGACGGGACGATGATCAAAAAAGAAGAAGCGCTGGGAGAAGCACGTCGCCTCTGTAACGTGGAGAAGTGCTTCTTCGGCAAGCTCTAACACATATTGGCCACTAGGGGCAGCAGTGGGCATTTTCAGTGGGTTTTTGCCATTTCCTGTTTATTTGTTACAACATAAAATAAACTAATAAATTCCCTCATGGAATTAGCCTGTTCTTTACATAACTGATATCTTTTCACTAGGGGTTCACCGGTATCGGGCCGATACAATACCATCCCACATATGTTGGGGGAGTTCAGATGGCGCTCGCGCGGGTTCACGAAGCGAGCTGCTCGTCCTCTTTACGCAATGGAACCTTGCGTTTTATTGGCTTTTGCGTATTTTGTTGTCTCTGATGCTTTTTTTGAATGGTGTGGCTTCTCTGGTGACTTATGATCGAGCTGTGCGGCTGAGGCTTCGTCCTCCTGTTGATGTAGCGGGTGCTGCGCGCTGGGAACCTCACGGATGGCGTTGTTGTTTGGACTGCCCGTGTGCTCTCTCCCCCCAAGCCATGATGTGTTGGCCCTCTGTCCGCCCCAGCTCGAGAAGGAAGCATCGTATAAGACGGGGAAAGCGAGGTAGCCTTCGCGTGAGACGTCGGGCTGGACTTCCTGGATCCCTGAAGAAGCGGCTGGTCCAATTCGGCCCAGCTTGTGACCCGGTGGTTCCGAGACGTCTGATGGTTTACTCTGCGCCCTGCCTTGTGATCTTGGCCGGCTTTGAGGGTGAGCTGGCACCGTGCCACGGCCAATCGGCTCGAGGACCTCGCCAGAGTGGGGTTTGCTGGGAGAATCTACGCTCAGTTACGGGCTCAGAGTTGGAGGAGACGGTGCCTGTACACGATCCAGGTGCTGTGGCCCCGCCGCAGACCCGGTTTGGTCTGGTCAATCCCAGGTCTGTGCAGAACAAAACTTTCATTCTTCGGGATTTTTTTATTCAACATGACTTGAGTTTTTTGTGCATCTGTGAGTCCGTTTGGTGACTCAAGCACCATGCTGGAGCTGGTACCACCTGGCTGCTCCTGTTTTAATATCCCCAGATCGTCGGGCAGAGGTGGTGGGCTGGTTGTGTTTTAAAATCCAGCTTTCCTTGTAAACAGCTTACACTCACCATGTCATTTTCTTCTCTTCAACTGTGCCTATTTGAACTGCATCTCCCCCCGCCTGCTCGTCGTGCTAATTTATCGCCCTCCAAAGACTGACTCTAACTTCCCGTAATGATTTCTATGATCTTGTGGCAGACTGCATCCTAAAATATGACTATGTCCTATTTTTGGTGATTTTATCATCCATATCTGCTGTCCTGACAATGTGCTTGCTAAAGGTTTTCTGAATTTGCTAGATTCATTCAATTTAACTCGATGGGTATCGTCCCCTACTCATGCCAGGGGTCACACCCTGGACCTGGTTCTCTGTTTTGGTCTCCCTGTCATGAACCTTGTGACGTTGCCTCCTGTGTTCTCTGACCACTCTCCAATACTCTGTGATGTTACTTTGCCATGTCCTGTCCCTGTGTGTGAAGCTCCAGCTACTAGGTTCAGAGCCCTGGATGCAGAAACTATTGCAAATTTGTGGACTGTATGTCTGTAAGGTTAGAGACCTTTAACCCTGATCCATCTAACATTGATCACTATTCACAACACTTTGATTTACTTTGTAATCAGGTCCTGGACGTGGTTGCCCCTCTCAAGCTTTGCAAGTCAAGGCCTAGGAGGGAGCCTTGGCTCTCTGATGTCACACGGGCTTGTAGGCGGGCGTGTAGATCCTCTGAGAGAAAGTGGAAAAAGGATGGCCTACAGATCTCGCGTGAGTTGTTCAGAACATCTCTGGTTGCTTATCAGAGTGAGGGTTGCCAGAACCGCCTATTTTGCAGACATCATCGAAACAAACTCTTAAGAATCCCAAGATTCTTTTCAAAACACTGAACTCTGTTCTGGTGTATCAGGAGCCTAGCTCCATGTCTCCTACAGCTGCTGGAAACTGAAGATTTTCACAAATACTTTGTTCATAAAGTATCAGGCATTAGAGCAGCTATTTCTGGTAACTCTGTTGACCCTGTTCCAGTTCCTCCATCACCACCCACCCTGAGCTCCCTCAATGCTGTTTCTTATTCTGAGCCGAGTAAGCCTGTTGCAAGGCAGAAGCCATCTGGCTCTCCACTTGATGTTCTGCCGCCTCCTCTCTGGAAGGCTGCCTTTCCGTGTCTTGGCCCTTCACTTGGTCAGATTATTGATGGGAGCCTCAGCACAGGTGTGGTTCCAGCTGCTTTGAAAGCAGCAGTTGTTCGGCCGACCCTAAAGAAACCTGGTGCTGATGTCTCTGTGATAGAAAATTACAGGCCTATCTCTACCCTGCCTTTTATATCAAAACTGCTTGAGAAAGTCGTTTATCAGTAGCTGGTCTCACATTTAGCTGACTCTGATCTGTTTGAGGTTTTCCAATCAGGGTTCAGGTCTGGCCATAGCACAGAGTCAGCTCTACTGATGGTCTTGAATGACATCTATCTATCACTAGATCAGGGTACTTCTATGGTGCTTCTCTTGTTAGATCTGACGGCAGCTTTTGACACAGTTGACCACGCGATTCTACTTGATCGCTTGGAATGATGGGTTGGGATCAAAGGGTCTACTCTGGATTGCTTTAGATCGTACCTCCACAACAGGACATTCTGTGTTAAACTGGGTGATATTTTATCTTCTTGGGAGGGGCTCCGCTGGGGGGGTCCCGCAGGGATCGATCCTTGGTCCTCTTTTGTTTGCAATTTATCTGCTTCCTCTGGGGTCAATCTTTCGTAAACATGGCCTATCGCTCCATCTCTATAGAGCTCCGGGAGTTGACGTCACGTCTCCCGGCATGCAACAGTTCAAATCGAAATGGCACCATATTGGCAGGCAGAAGCCCGCAGCTGGACTATTTGTTATTGTCAGAAAACTCAATCAAACGGGAAATATGGTAGATTCTTGTTGGGCCCCAGGATGCAGAACAGATGCGGACGACATAAGGGATGAGCCTTCTACAGGATTCCCCAAGATCCAGAGCGCCGCAAACGTTGGATCATTGTAATAAAACGCACTAGTGACCGGGCTAAAATGAAGCTGTGGGATCCCGAGAGCAAAGGTTTTCGCTTATGCAGCGACCACTTCATATCAGTTACTTAAACCACCGTTTCCTCTATGGATGCACCGATGGATCGGCATTTGATCCCAATCGGCCGATAGCACCCCTATCGGTTTTGATCGGAATTTTCAAAATAGATCAAAGCAGACCGATCAGGTAGGGTTGTCACGGTAACCAGTGTAGCGGTAAACCCCGGTAAAAAAAGTTGACAATAATAATAACCGTCTTGTTTTAAAAAAAAACTATATTATCTCGGTGGGTTTACCGTGGCTGCGGTGTATGCACGGTGACCCTTACCAGCCACCGTATCATCTGCTGAAGTTGCCAGCGGCACATGCGCGCTTTGTTGTTTACAGCCAAAACTTTCTTGAAGCTAAAGCTGAAATAATGGCCAAAGGTGAAGGTGCCAAAGGTGCTTCTCTGGGGGTGAAAATTGACGCTGAACTTAAATTTGATGTTCACATAAACTCTGTGGTCCGGTCCAGTTTTTTTCACCTGAGACGCCTTGCAAAAATCAAGCCTATGCTGTCGAGAGCCCACCTGGAGCGGGTACTGCATGCTTTTGTAATTTCTAGACTTGATTACTGCAGCTCTCTGTATGCAGGGTTGTGTCAGTCATCACTGCGTCGCCTACAGGTTGTGCAGAACAGCACAGCCAAGTTTCTGACTGGGACCAGGAAACGGGACCACATTAGTTCGGTTCTGGCCTCACTGCACTGGCTTCCGGTCTGTTATCGTTCACACTTTAAACTCCTCATCTTTGTTTACAATTTATTCCAGGGTGGTGCTCCCCCCTATCTAGCCACACTCCTGAACAGACATTCCCCATCACACGCTCTGCGCTCCTCTGACCAAGGCCTGCCCGCTGTCCCTCATTCTAGGTGCCAGCAACGACTCTACCTCCTGAGGAAGTTGAATTCTTTTGGAGTCAGGAAGGACATTTTACTGACTTTCTATTATTCTTTTATAGAGAGTATTATCACATTTTCCATCCCCTGTTGGTTTTATTGTCAGCCTGCAGTATAGACACCGACTACAAAGAAGAAGAAGAAGAAAATATCATTTCTATAGCGCCTAAAAATAAAAATCACAAGGCGTTTCACAAAAACAAAAAATATGTAAAAATATAAAAAAAGCATTTAGAAAATGTTTAAAAACATATTTAAAATGAGCAAAAATAGGCAATTGGGATTTAAAAAAATACACCGTCAAAGCGCCGCCATGGTGTGCTCTCGGATCATTGGACTACCACTGTGAAACTTAACTTCTCTATGTGACCAGCATACAGGAAGTTTAGCACAGAAAATCATTAAAGACCCATTACACCCTCTTCATACTGTTTTTGAGTGACTGCCCTCCAAACGCCGACTTCGATGCCCATGCTGTAAAACACAGAGGAGGAGAAGTTCCTTTGTTCCCAGAGCTGTGCTTCTTCTCAATTCTCAGTGCAGATAGGGGGCGTGTGCATTACTTGTGTGTGTGCGTGCATGTAGTTACATGTATGCATGTGTATTTGTGTGTGTGTGTGTGTGAGCCAAAGGTTTACTCATCGTTGGTCATTCACATGTGAGGTTGTGACATGAATGTGTACATAGGTTTAATGGGTTTTACAAATGTGTAAATTGGTTGTGTTTTTAGAATTTAGAGATTTTAGTGCCGGCTGCTTCACAATGCTGTCTCGAATTGCCCCTCGGGGACTAATAAAGTTGTCTTGAGTCTTGAATACTCGCGGGGACCGGGCTTTCTCAGTCCTAGCACCGTCACTCTGGAACCAGCTACCACCCTCAGTTAGGCTGTCCCCATCTCTGCCAGTCTTTAAGAGTCGCCTAAAAACCCACCTCCTCCGCTTGGCGTTCCCTGAGCGTGTTAGAATTTGGCCCTCTTTTATGTTGATTTTTTTCCCCTGTTTACATTGGTCTCTTTATCCCTTGTTTTACCCATTTGTCTTCTACTTTAATGTTTTACCTTTTTTGCACTATTTGAATTGCTTTTATTTTCGATTTATTCATCATATTTCACTTTTCTCATGTACCATGCTCAGCGCCTCGGGCTTCCAGACAGGGTCACGGAAGGCGCTTTATAAATAAAGCTTTGATTGATTGATTGATGTACTCGTTAAAAGTTAACCAATACCAGGAACTGATACCAATGCCTGAAAGTGGCTTCACTGTGACTTGTCACTTTTGTTGTTGTTTACTAAACTGACCACTAGAGGGGAGCTGTTGAGCTAAAGAGTAACAGTGTGGGTTAAGCAGTGCTGGCTCAGAATAATAAAACCAGGGGGTGTTGTAGCTTTGTTAACAGCATGTCAGCCTTGTGGACATACTTTAAAATTTGTGAAGATGACAGAAGCATACTGACCCCAATGTGTAAGCGTCATTAGTGGAGAACAGGTGCCAACCTCTCCAGGATCTCTGTTGATCTGAAGTTTTATTGTTTATGTCCCTCAATAGCATCAGCAGACGTTATTAAACCAGCTGAAAGAGGTCACGGGTACCACGGACATCCAGCTGCTCCAGCAGGCCCTCCAGGTATGTTGTCAGACACACACACACACACACGCACGCACACACTTATTTATATGCTTGTGGGGACCTCCATTGGCTTCCACTCATTTTAGTGAGTCCACTATGCCTAACCGATACCCTAACCTCAACCAATGGGGTTCTATTCCTAACCCTGGCCTTTACTAAAACCATGTATAAGGGTGCTTGGCATGTAGACTAGAAAAATGTGCCCACAATGTGGAAATGTCCACACAGTAGAGGTTAGTCCACCTAACCATATCAAGACAAAAACACACTAATATACACTCTAGTTGACACTATTTGTCACTAAGAGTATTGATTGGGAAATGATTTTGATACAAGTCAACCATGGACGTAATTTTCACTTTAGAAGTGGGGGGGCGGGGGGGATCTTTACAGTATGTTCTAATGGGAAACGGGCTTCAACACAAACGTTTGTTTTCTGCTTGGTCCTAGAGCTCAACCAGTGTCAATTTATTTTGAGCCATGGCTCTGGTGTTGATCAAGTTTAATTATATCTCTTTGCAACAATTTTCACAAGAAAACTGAACAGTTAAAAGCAGGGCTTGTGTTGACCGGATAGTTCCTGTATTTGAGCGTTTATTTTGATGGAGAAAGAGTTGAAAGAATTACCCCGACGCATGCAGACGAGCTGACATTTTAATTGTTACGCACATCGCAGAGTAGCTAAATCACTCAAGAAAAGATTCCCATCTGAACATCTGAGCTGGACACTGCTCAGCGCAGCTCACTGTCAGCGCATACGTACGGTGCACAGCGAGCTGAAGATGTGGAGAGGGGTTTGGAGCGTGTCGCAGAACCAGAGCGCACGTGGGAAGATTCCTCCCACTGAAGCGAGTGTTTTTCCAAACCCTGTCTCTCAGAGAGACTTGTCACTTAGAAAATGTTTCCTGATTATGAAACTTTGGCTGAATAGCGCTTGTTCCTGTCTCCAATGTGGCGACACATCCATGAGCCTGTCTGAGGAAAAGTCCAGAATCTCACATCCTCTTCAGCTCAGACAGCGCCTATAGAGACATCTGATTACGCACAAGCAGGTGACCTGTCAACCCGGTCAGACAGTAAGACCGGGTTGGACCTGTTCAGGTTTACGCAGACAATCTTTACATTTAGAATAGGTATACAGATATAAAATTAATGCAGTAATAAATGCAGTTTATTTAATAACCTTTCATTGTTTTACAAGCACAGAGAGCCGCGTCAGATGGATGGAAGAGCTGCGGGTTGCCGACCCCCGTCCTAGACGCAGTTTTAGGTCTGCTCGGTGATTTTGATGTTGTTGTGGTTCTGCAGGTGAGTAACGGAGACCTGGCAGAGGCCGTTGCCTTTCTGACAGAGAAGAATGCCAAGGCTCCTCAGCAGGATGAGACTACCTACTACCAAACATCTCAGGTGCCCAGCGACAGATATATCAGTGTTGGCAGCCAGGCGGATACAAGTGAGTGGCATCTGCTGGAGTCTTCATAAAAAAATCACAATCGGTGTTTGGAAGATTGGGAGTTCATAAAATCTGTATTTACATGTTTATATTTGTGATGCAGATGTGATTGATCTGACAGGAGATGATAAAGATGACCTGCAAAGGGCTATTGCCCTCAGCCTGGAGGAGTCCAGCCGGGCTTTCAGGGAGACGGGCATCACTGATGAGGAGCAGGCAATCAGCAGGTGGGCTGGTGGAAGTCACCCAGCAGCACACAGTGGTGACCTGAGCCCCCTTCAGACAGGCCATGAAAAACGGAAATGTTCCGGACTCTGTCCGTAAGACCTTTGTGTCTGAATACAAACATCCGGATAGCGTTTTCCGTAATTAAACCGGACGAAGCCCCTAGTAACAGGTCCAGACTTATTACGGACAAGGTGGCTGCTTCAGACTGGTGAGGTCGAGTTCCGGACAGGGAGGAGGGGGAGGAGGAGGGGACCGGGGGACGCTGTGCGCACCTAGATAGCCCGCTGCTGTAGCATGCGGCGAACCATGGCAGCTCGCCTCCTACGGTCGGTACCGTCTCCTAGACGCGCGACGGAGTGCATCACACCGCTTCCGTGATTCCTTTTAACCATTGAGCTTCATCATCCTGGTCTCTTAAGCGTCTTTGTGTGCGCAGAATTATGCTTAACATAAGTCTGATCAGTGAGAGGAATTCTATCTCTTCTGCCATGTTTGACTGAATGGCTTTGTTTGGGTAAATGACGCATGTACACCCGCCGCACTATGCCCCCCCCCCCCCAGACATCTGGAACTTTTCCCTGCTGTGTGAAGGCAGCCAAAAGGACAAGTTCCGGTTCAAAAGTGGTGTGTCTGAAAACACAGTTCCGGTTAAAAACCGGATTGAATTGTCCACACATATTCCAGAATGTCTATCTGAAAAGGGTTCTGGTTTTATGTTATCTTGAACCCTGTCCTGGTGTTTTTTCTGTAATAAGTATGACTGTTAGCTGGTGTCCTCACACAAACACGCACGCACGCACGCACGCACGCACGCACACACACACACACACACACACACACACACACACTCTGGTTCTGTTGTTGCAGCTTACGTTACATAAACTTTAAAGCCCGGTTCATGCTTCTCCGTCAGCTCTGCAAGGGACAGACACGCACGGATTGACTGATGCATTTTGCCCTCATGCTTCTCCATCTCCTGGAGAGGGTTTCAAAGCATTTCCCCGGCAGGACAACAGAGGGCGTAGCGCTGTTCTGTGGTATCCCGTCATGTATCGGTCCAAGATAGTGTGTTTGTATTGTGTTTTTTTGTATACAAGAGACTTTTTAACAGACAAATTTGTCTCTCATCCTCCTCCACCTCTTCATGCACTCGCCACCTCTAAACCCACTTTTCCTGTCATTTCCGTCCACAAATAAAATGCTTGCTGCGCATCTTTTCACTCCTCCAGTCACGGGGGAATTAAACGTCCATGTTTTTAGAGTTTTTTCGCGAGGTATTCTTCAAGCTTCTCTGTGTCTACCGCTAGATATCCTCGGCTCTCTTTATGTTTTTGAGGGCGCAACAGCGGCGGTGTAGACGACAGCAGCGTCCTGACCAATCACAAGCTTGCATTGTCCGTCTCGACTGACGGATGTTTAGAAAAGAGAGCTCGACTCCGTCCGTCCTTGCGGAGCTCTCCAGCAGACCTGCAAGGACGTCGCGTGTCCGCACTGACGCAGACGGAGACGCATGAATCAGGCTTAACGGGGGCTGGCTTTCAGCAGAAGGCTTTAATAGTTGCTCTCAACATCTGAAGTTATATTTAAGTTACATTACCAGCTTAAGGAACACTGACAGGAACATGGGCTCTGCTTCAAGTCAAATCAACATGAACTGAAACTGTGACACGGCTGAGCATTTTGTAAAAAAAACTAAAAGGTAAATTAGAATGTGTGTGTTTTCTTTGATTTGTAGGGTTTTGGAGGCCAGCATAGCAGAGAACAAAGCTAGTCTAAAACGTACTCACACCGAGGTGTGGAGCGACTCACCCAACCCTCACGACAGGAAGAGGATAGACGGCTGCCCGGTGGGGCTGAAGAACGTTGGTAATACCTGCTGGTTCAGCGCCGTCATCCAGGTGAGCTCACGCGCTGCTGGTCCCAACCTCTTCAAGTGTGTGTGTGTGTGTGTGTGTGTGTGTGTGTGTGTGTGTGTGTGTGTGTGCGTGTGTGTGTGTGCATGAGTGGAAAAACAATCTGCATCATATTGGAACATATGTCTGAACAGTTTGGTTTCCCAAACCAAAAATGAAGAGCCTTTTGAACTGGTTCATGTAAGATTCAGACCTCTGAAATCAGCTGCTCTTCATGATCTGTAAAAACCAGAGGTACCTGACCTCGTTCCACAACAAACAGTCGTGTCTGATGACTTTGTGCTCAGTAAAATCACTGGTGGGACAAAGCAGAGCCCCGTGTTGCAGCAGCCCACGCTTTTCTGCTGTAGAAAAGCTCAAAACCAGGGACAATGACCCGAGCTCGTCTGCTGGTGGACTTGTTAATAGAATGTGACCCTAGCTGAAGTATGCCAGATACACTGGATACACCATCACATGATGTTTGGCGTCTCTGTGTGTAACACTACCCACATAGCTGAAAAGACGCCACTACTGCAGCTGGCCCAGTTTGGAGTAAACAAGTTGTTTTTCCTAATAAAACAAGTAGAAGTCTGGACTGCTGGGACTGTGGGAATCATCTCTTCCTGTTCATGTCTGCTTTTGAAGGATGATAATCCTGGAGCCAAATGGCTGGCACCAGGTGCATCAGACCTGCTGCAAAGGCCAAAGAACACAATAATATTCATTCAATAGACCTGTCAACATTTTTCTGTTGAATTTGTTGTGATCACTTGTTTTTACATCAGTCAGTGCAAAACAATTCCATAAGCCGTCTGCTTACATGCGTAAAGCGGATTTGGGTTATAAATAATAGGCCGTTGGGTTCTTTTGAATTACAGGTGCAATTATTCATTTATTTACTTTTTCTCGTCTCGTCTCGTCTCGTCTCGTCTTCCTCCGCTTATCCGGGTCCGGGTCGCGGGGGCAGCATCCCAACTAGGGAGCTCCAGGCCGTCCTCTCCCCGGCCTTGTCCACCAGCTCCTCCGGCAGGACCCCAAGGCGTTCCCGGACCAGATTGGAGATGTAACTTCTCCAACGTGTCCTGGGTCGACCCGGGGGCCTTCTGCCGGCAGGACATGCCCGAAACACCTCCCCAGGGAGGCGTCCAGGAGGCATCCTGACCAGATGCCCAAACCACCTCAACTGGCTCCTTTCGATCCGGAGGAGCAGCGGTTCTACTCCGAGTCCTTCCCGAATGTCCGAGCTCCTCACCCTATCTCTAAGGCTGAGCCCGGCCACCCTACGGAGGAAACTCATTTCGGCCGCTTGTATCCGCGATCTCGTTCTTTCGGTCATTACCCAAAGCTCATGACCATAGGTGAGGATTGGGACGTAGATCGACCGGTAAATCGAGAGCCTGGCTTTCTGGCTCAGCTCCCTCTTCCCCACGACAGATCGGCTCAGCGTCCGCATCACTGCAGACGCCGAACCAATCCGCCTGTCGATCTCCCGATCCCTCCTACCCTCACTCGTGAACAAGACCCCGAGATACTTAAACTCCTCCACTTGAGGTAGGACCTCTCCCCCGACCCGGAGGTGGCAAGCCACCCTTTTCCGGTCGAGAACCATGGTCTCAGATTTGGAGGTGCTGATCCTCATCCCAGCCGCTTCACATTCGGCCGCGAACCTACCCAGCAAGAGCTGAAGGTCAGAGCTGGATGAAGCTAGGAGGACCACATCATCCGCAAAAAGCAGAGACGAGATTCTCCTGCCACCAAACTCGACACACTCCACACCACGGCTGCGTCTAGAAATTCTGTCCATAAATGTGATGAACAGAACCGGTGACAAAGGGCAGCCCTGGCGGAGTCCAACCCTCACTGGGAACAGGTCCGACTTACTACCGGCTATGCGGACCAAACTCACGCTCCTCTGGTAAAGGGACTGAATGGCCCTTAACAGAAAGCCACCCACCCCATACTCCTGGAGCGTCCCCCACAGGGTGCCCCTGGGGACACGGTCATAAGCCTTCTCCAAATCCACAAAGCACATGTGGATTGGTTGGGCAAACTCCCATGCCCCCTCCATCACCCTTGCAAGGGTATAGAGCTGGTCCACAGTTCCACGGCCAGGACGAAAACCACATTGCTCCTCCTCTATCTGAGATTCAACTATCGATCGGACCCTCCTCTCCAGTACCTTGGAGTAGACCTTTCCAGGGAGGCTGAGGAGTGTGATCCCCCTATAGTTGGAACACACCCTCAGGTCACCCTTCTTAAAGATGGGGACCACCACCCCGGTCTGCCACTCCCTAGGAACTGCCCCCGATGACCACGCAATGTTGTAGAGACGTGTCAACCACAACAGCCCTACAACATCCATAGCCTTGAGATACCCAGGACGAACCTCATCCGCCCCCGGGGCTCCGCCGCTGTGTAGTTGTTTGACTACCTCAGCAACTTCTGCCCTCGAGATCGGACAGTCCATCCCCAGGCCTCCCAGCTCTGGTTCCTCCTCGGAATGCGCATTGGTGGGATTGAGGAGCTCCTCAAAGTATTCCTTCCACCGTCCGACTATAGCCTCAGTTGACGTCAGCAGCTCCCCATCCCCACTGTAAACAGTGTGAGCGAGTTGCTGCCTTCCTCTCCTGAGGCGCCGGACAGTTTGCCAGAACCTCTTTGGAGCCGATCGATAGTCTTTCTCCATGGCCTCACCAAACTCCTCCCACGCCCGAGATTTTGCCTCGGCAACTGCCACTGCTGCACCCCGCTTGGCTATCCGGTACCTGTCTGCTGCCTCCGGAGACCCACAGACCAGCCACGCCCTGTAGGCCTCCTTCTTCAGCCTGACGGCTCCCCGAATCTCTGGTGTCCACCAGCGGGTACGGGGGTTGCCACCACGACTGGCACCGGCCACCTTACGACCACAGCTAGCAACAGCCGCCTCGACAATCGCAGAGTGGCACAAGGCCCACTCGGACTCAATGTCCCCCACTGCTCTCGGGACGTGGTCAAAGCTCTGCCGGAGGTGGGAGTTGAAGACCGTCTTGACAGGTTCTTCTGCCAGGCGTTCCCAGCAGACCCTCACTATGCGTTTGGGTCTGCCAGGTCTACGCGGCATGTTCCCTTGCCATCTGATCCAACTCACCACCAGGTGGTGATCAGTTGACAGCTCCGCCCCTCTCTTCACTCGGGTGTCCAAAACATACCGTCGCAGGTCAGATGATACGACTACAAAATCTATCATCGACCTGTGACCTAGGCTGCCCTGGTACCAAGTGTACCGGTGGGCATCCTTATGTTCGAACATGGTGTTCGTTATGGCCAAACTGCGGCTTGCACAGAAGTCCAATAACAAAACACCGCTCGAGTTCTGATCAGGTGGGCCGTTCCTCCCAATCACACCCCTCCAGGTCAAGCTGTCATTGCCCACGTGAGCATTGAAGTCCCCCAGCAGGACAATGGAGTCCCCTGATGGAGCACTATCTAGCACTCGTCCCAGGGACTCCAAAAAGGGTGGGTACTCTGAACTGATATTTGGCCCATACGCACAAACAACAGTCAGGACCCGTTCCCCGACCCGAAGGCGCAAGGAAGCTACCCTCTTGTCCCCCGGGGTAAACCCCAACACACAGGCAGAGAGTCTCGGGGCTAACAAAAAGCCAACCCCAGCCCTCCGCCTCTCACCCGGAGCAACTCCAGCAAAGTAGAGTGTCCAACCCCTCTCCAGGTCTCGGGTTCCAGAGCCAATGCAATGTGTCGAGGTGAGTCCGACTATATCTAGCCGGTACCGCTCAACCTCTGCCACAAGCTCCGGCTCCTTCCCCGCCAGCGAGGTGACGTTCCATGTCCCAAAAACTAGTTTCCTTGTCCGGGGATTGGACCGCCAAGGCTCCCGCCTTGGTCTGCCACCCGATTCACATTGCACCGGACCCTTCATGTTCCTCCTGCGGGTGGTGGGTCCACAGTTGGACGAGCCCATGTATCCGGTTCGGGCTGGGCCCGGCCGGGCCCCATGGGCGAAAGCCCGGCCACCAGGCGCTCGCTCACGGGCCCCAACCCCAGGCCTGGCTCCAGGGTGGGACCCCGGTAACCCTCCGGGCCGGGTACTCCGACTCTTCGTTTTCACCGCCATGAAAGATCCTTCGAACCGTTCTTTGTCTCACCCTTCACCTAAGACCAATTTGTCATGGGAGACCCTACCAGGGGCACTAAGTGCCCCAGACAACATAGCTCCTAGGATCATTAGGGCACTCAAACTCCTCCACCACGATAAGGTGACGGTTCAAGGAGGAGATTTATTTACTTTTTTTTTTAGTAAACTACCTCTGTTACCGCAGAGGGACTACAGCGTCTCTGTGTTCACTAACATGTTTTTGTCTCTGATTTCAAGTCCTTATTCCACCTTCTGGAGTTCCAGAGGCTGGTTCTGAACTACTCTCCACCCGCCAGAGTCCTTGATCTTCCCCGCAACCAGAAGGTGAGCCAACAGGTGAAAGTAGAGCTGAATTCACAACCATCTGGAGTTTTTCTCACACCGCGAGCACATGCAGGAAATTGCATCCGACTTAAACTCTCTCCTTACTATTTCATCCTACATGTAACGAGTGTGGGACTAGTTGTGCGCCAGAATTATATAAAAAGGGAACGAGTAAACAGCATAAGCGTTTTTGTTGGGGCAGCAGTAGCTCAACAGGTTGAGCGGGTTGTCCAGTAATCGGAAGGTTGCAGGTTCGATCCCGGCTCCGGACAGAGAATTCTGCTGTTGTGTCCTTGGGCAAGACACTTAACCCACCTTGCCTGCTGGTGGTGGTCGGAGGGACCGGTGTCGCCAGTGCTCGGCAGCCTCGCCTCCGTCAGTGCGCCCCAGGGCAGCTGTGGCTACATCGTAGCTCATCCCCACCAGTTTGTGAATGTGTGTGTGAATGGATGAATGATACACTGTAGTGTAAAGCGCTTTGGAGTCCTTAATCTGAGAGGCGCTATACAAGTGCGGGTCATTTATCATTTATCTAGCAGCCTCAACGTGAAACCTGTGATCTGATCGCTCGTCAAAAGTATTCTCGTAAAGCAGGTGATGAGCACTGTCGCCTCCTGAAGTGTTGTTATTCCGGCACCTAATGAACACGTCACACCGTCGCAGGGGGTTTCCTCATGCCCGCCTCCAAAAGTCCCTGAGCACTGTGCAAAGGCAATCTGAAAAGGTTCCTATGGGAAGCGTAGTTCTAGGAACTAAATCCTAAGAGGATGGTTCTAGGAATTTAGTTCTTAGAACTGTGCAGTCCGAATGCGTTTTATGATGTTTGTTAATGCTTATATATTTTAAAGAGTTACTTGAACGTAAGAATGGTGGCCAACTCTGCATCTGTCTAGGTGCATCCTCAAACACTCGTTCACACTCTGTAATCAACATCTGTAAATAACACGGACGTAGTTTTGACTTAAGAAGTGGGGGGGCCAAAACCAGCATGAGGACGGGGGTCTTTAAGTATACAAAAAATATGTGATGGGGAAAAAGTCTTCAACACAAGCGGTTGTTTTCTGCTTGGTCCTCGTGCTCAACCAGAGTAGGTTTTATATAGCGTAATATTAGGGATGTGAATCTTAGAGCAACTCATGGTTTGATTCGATTCCCATTCTTGGGGTGCCGATTCGATTCAGAATCGATTCTCGATTCTCAATTTAAATCGATTCACAATCAGTATTAACAAAGAGTGTCAGCTCCAGGATTAACTACTTTGTTGTACAAGTTAGTTAAAGCTATGGGACGTTTTTATTAGACTTTAAACTGGTCATGCTCCAATTTACAATGTAAAATAAAGTGATTCTAAAACTGTAAACAGAAGCAATCTTTTGTCCAAAAGGCAACATTTATTTCTGCTTTCCTTGTAAAATATAACAAATCTGTAGTTACACAACAGTAGCTTTGAAAGTAATACGGTTAAATACTTTTCAAGTATGTGTAGAAACAAGTTACATGAGTAATCCTGAGTACTCATTTATTAACTTAGAAAATAAATATGAGAATATCTCAAATTTCTGAGTATGGAAAAAATGACATTCAAGTGCCCTCTTATCAGCAGATTCAAACATAAATCATCTCAATCTATGGGACCACAAAAGTAAACGGAGTACTGACTCTCCTAACAAAGATCAAAAAGAGCATCTCAAACCTGTAACATGCCACATATTTGAGTTCTTGGAATCGATTCTGAACATTGTGAAAAAGAATCCTGATTCAGACTTGAATCGATTTTTTTCAGCACCTCTAGCGTAACATTGTTTTTAAGTCCATGGTAAGTTATATGATGTCTAACACTATTGGCTAATGCGGCATGCTTTCTACGTGACGGGTAGAAAATGTTAATAGCTAAATATTGGAAGTAAACTATACGGAATTTGATCTTCTAAGTTGTAGTCACTGACTGTGTTCCTCTAATCAGGAGCACAGGAACCTGCCCTTCATGCAGGAACTGAGGAACCTGTTCTCTCTCATGGTGGGATCCAAGAGGAAGTATGTGGATCCATCACGGGCTGTGGAAATCCTCAAAGATGCTTTCAAGTCCAGTGAATCACAGCAGGTCAGTTTGTCTTTGCTACAGGGGTCTCCAAACTTTTTTGGCCTGTGAGGACCGTGAGGACACTGAATGGACCGAAGCGCTACTGGCATAAGATTTATTCACATTGATACTTTCCATGTATGAATTTGCTAATGTTTAAAATGCTATACTTAATACATTAATTTGTTTTGTATTCACAAGTTGTTTTCTCTATTTTAATACATCAGTATTACAAGGAAAATGGTGACATTCTGAAAATCGAACTAAACATTTTGATTTTTAACTAATCAGATACTTTCAGATAATGAAATACAAATGTACTTGGTGTGAATGATTTGACTTTTTTTTTTAATGGAAAAGTTACGTAACTTTTTCAGCACACAGGAGCAGCTAACCTGTTGCTGGTCAGTCCCTGACCCTGTGCCCAGAGCCTAAAAAGCAATGTCAGTTTTTCATATTTTCTCATAAATGAACAAATACTTCCAAAAACTATAGAATGCATTTTAAAGAGCATTGAATTTCCTTTAAATGGTATTGAATACAAAGTGTTATAGTAATTGTTGTGTTATGATTATTATTTTTAAACAATGCTAAACAGATTTTCTCATAAAATGAATGAAGCTGAAGGTATTTTTAATCAAATACATGCTAAATATGATGAAAACACAACATTCTAAATTGTTTGAACTGTTGTGAAAACTGTAAAAACCAAAATAACATTTCTCCCTGCTTTCTGATTAATTGAATCATTTTTATGGATTTTTTGCTCATGAAAGTTAAAGAGCAAGTCACCCCCTACCAGATTCTTTCTCAACTCCCACTTCCTGTTTGAAAAATGCAAAAAAGGCTGTAGCCTAGCAGACCGAGAGGGCGGAGCCGCTAAAAATACACACACTCACAACATTGTGACATCATAATGTATTATCTAACATCATCGTGTATCCCCTGAGCCAATAGCGATGGCAAATTTTAATTCAAATGCAGTGCTAGGTTTTTACCTGACGACGGTGCAACACTGACAGTTTTAGGTAGAATATTTCAGTTTGAACTAAGATGTACTAAAGTGCCGAATTATTGACTGCACATGTCTACAGCACGATCAGACACTCATTTATATAGTTTATCAGCAAAAACATACTGATTTGGAGTGATTTGCTCTTTAAGCGTAGCTTCACAGTTGAAGAACTGTGGGTAAATAATGCATTGCTGCATTTTTTTGCCGACAATATTAAGGTTAAAGGTTTAGTTGTAGGCGTAGTTTTTTTTTCTCCATAGGTCTGACGGCTGTGTGCAACACAGAACAGAGAGAGAGTATGGAAGCATATGTGTAACAGTAATAAAATTATTATGCAGTAGCAGAAATGATTTATAATTTTCATATTAGAACTGCCAAATTTGACTCATAAATAAAACAAATAAGCAATCTTCCTAACAGCTTTTTTATTTTCTTCTTCATCATTGCTTATTCTGTGACTTAATGAAAATGATAAAGAAAAACATTTAAGATTTTATTTTCAAATAATACTCCAGCAAAAATATAACAAAATTCAATTTGACATGTCAAATTTGAAAATTAAACTACATTAGTAGAATTTTTTTTTTTCATTTTCACTACACAGCTGCTCAGTGTGACTCACAATTAAAATGAAAAAGTTTCTCCAAACTGCTTTTTAATCTAATTCCATGATTTCGTTCTTTTTAAACACAAACAGTTTTGTTTACCTGTTTGAACTAAGATGTACTAAGGTAAACAAAACTGTTTCTGTGTTTAAAAAGAACGAAATCATGGAATTAGAACCACAACACAGCAAGAACACACCTAAGATGCTTTTTAATCTTCTTCATCGTTGCCCCTTCTATGACTTAATGAAAAGGATAAAGAAAGGGGAACTGCCTTTTTTTCATGCCCACCCTGCATAAAATGTTTCATAATTCTAATTGAATTGGCCATCCTTAGCGACGCGCGAGAGTGACATCAGTGTTCGCCTCGCTCCTCTGACTCAAACATACTACGCATTTAGTACACTAGGAGGTGGTGTACGCACAGACTCAAAGGAAAGGCCTTGCATTGGCTGCGTGAGAACAGGAAACGCGGCCGCGATCTTGAACCGGTTCCCTAGGACTGCAGTGGAAGGTAATCCCCCGAGCCCTGGCCTCAAGTAAGTTCGAGCATTTTTATTGTTTGTGTTTTATAAATATAATGTATTACTGTACTGCAGCGGCCCATCAATAGCCGGCCCTGTTCCTAGTTCTCTATCCTTTTCATTAAGTCACACAATGGGTAATGGTGAAGAAGAAAATTAAAAAGCATTTTAAAGGATTGCTTTTTCATTTTAACTGTGAATCACACCAAGCAATTGTAAAGTGAAAATGCATTTCTGCTAATTCATTTACATTTTCAGATTTCACATGTCAAAAAGAATTTTTGCTGGAGTATTATTTGAAAATTAAATGTTAAATTTTTTTTCTTCATCATTTTCATTAAGTCACAGAATAAGCAAAGATGAAGAAGAAAATAAAAAAGCTGTTAGGAAGATTGCTTATTTGTTTTATTTATGAGTCAAATTTGGCAATGCTAGTATGAAAAATAAAAATAATTTCTGCTACTGCATAGTAACGTGATTTTTTTACACGAACGCTTCCTGTTTTATTACTAAATGGGACAATCAGCTGAAACTTGAGAAAAATATGTTGAAACTAAATCACAGGAGATGTCCAACTCAGGGCTTACCACACCTGCATGGACCTGCACAGGTCTGTCCACCTCTGAGTCTCTGCATTACTAGATCTGTCTACAGCTAATTAAATTAATGACAAGTGAAACAAATGAATTTGAAACTAGCTAAATATTACGAGATGTATCATTCATTTATTCTAATATTAACATGTACATGTTGGATGCACAACCTGATTTTGTATTTGTCCTTAAACTGGGATTGCTCTAATCCAGCATCTAGAGAGGCTAAATGAGGTCAGCCTTGTGGCCTCGTTGCATCAATCACATCTGTCCTTGATGCGTACTGGTTGGGTTAGGTTGATTCTGACCTGAGTCACTGGGAGGGTAGCCTCAGAACCAAAGCTGGTACCTTCTGGATTGATCTGCTGATCTTGTAACACTGAACATGATCACTTCTGTATGTGTGTTCAACAGCAAGATGTGAGCGAGTTCACCCACAAGCTGCTGGACTGGTTGGAGGATGCCTTCCAGATGAAGGCTGAAGAAGACAGGTAACTTCAGCTCAGTGTGGAAAAAAGTTAACTAAGATGTGCTTGTTGGTGGTTTTAAGAAGACATTTGCAAGCAAAGGTTCAAACAAACATTGAGTAAACCAGAGACAAATGGTGACGCCTTCATCACCATCCATCTTTAAGCATTGGCTATCCATGTGTTTGTGACCTGGGCCTGGTTTTCACCACACAAGCCACAACACTGGACAACAAACAACATAACAAGACCTGGTACCAATGAGGTCCTGTTCAGACCACATGACTCTGGACCTCACTAACCCTGCTTTAGACATCTGTGAGAGGGAGGTGGGGTGGGGTCTTTCCTGGAAGACGAGATGAACGGCAGGTACAGGTACTTGGCTGTCATTAGCCACGTTTACATGCGCATATTTAATCGGATTGAATGCCCATTCAGATTGAAAATTCTGCATGTAAACATGTCAATCAGAATATTCTGATCCGATTCGGCCCGATCGGATTGAAATTTCAATCCGATTGAGAGAGGTGGTTTATTCCGTTCTTCATTCCGATTGACGTGCATGTGCACAGCCATTCGGATTGTTGGGGTAAAACAATGCCCACTGCGCATGTGTGCAACAGCCAGCGGGCCTCTCCGCTGTCATTTGGACTGCCTGACTTCAAAAATGACGGTGTAATTAACAAGCGGCGGCTTTTAAATCCGATAACAAGCCGTCCCGTTTCAGTAATATTTAATTCAGAACTTGCATTTTGTGGAAGTAAAATAAAAATCTGATTATTGCACAAATCATTCGACAAAGATGTTCAAATCTTTACTGGAAATACGCAGGTTTATCGTGGGGGTTGCAGCGCACGGATCCCCGTTTCTGTCAGCTTTGAACACAGCAGCTTCTGCAGCAGGTGATGGAGACACGCTTGTAAAGAACACAGGATAATCTGGGTTTTACAGACCTGATTGGAGGCTGATGTTGGGTAGGAAAACGTCCTCGGTTAAATACTCTGGACGACAGTAAAGTCCGTGTTCGTTAAAAGCACGTAAACGCAGATGACCTGAGATGCGGTTCGTTAATGATGAACACAGGCTTCTAAACTTTCTGAACATCTTCTGTTATTTTGTTTGAACAGATTTTTCTCAACAGTTTCAGCTGATCGTCACATGTTATTAATAATAAGCCACAACAGAGCTCAGTAATAAAACATGAGGCTAACCCCGTCCCCCCCCCCCCCCCCCCACCACCCCTCTGTGCCGCAGCGCAGCGCTACAGCTGTCAATTCAGACCTGCGGACCAGCTGATCAAGAGGCAGACATAACCCTCCCTTATTTTAATCAACAATAAAATGCAGCAAAGCATATATCTGCAGTTATTCACTGAAGAAAACGTAACTTCTATGAGCTAAATAAAAATATTAAATTGAATAAATGGATCAGGAAAGCAGGAAGAATAGTTATTTCTGTTTTTACATTTTTCTTTTCGTTTCATGGCGTTTGTTTACAATTTTTCTTTCGTGAAAGGCAACTCTGCGCATGCTCAACCTATTTAATCGGATTAAATGCTTGGTGCATATGTACGCACGGCATGATCGGATCATTTCAGTTCGTGTCCATGTGAACAGAGATTCGGAAATTCCGATCAACCAAGATTTCAATCGGATTGAGGAAATTAGGCACATGAAAACGCAGCTATTGTTCACTTTGGAAACCGGTCCAAAAGGTTAGACTGATGTTTTTTAAATGCATGTTAGTCATGCTGAAGGTGTATTTGTTGTAATCGTACTGAAGCACCCAAATAATGCAGTAAGAAACCGACTTCCCAATGCTGTTGAGTTGATACCGGTTACTTCGGGAAGTGACAAGAAAAAGCAGTCTTCTGATGATAATATGGCCTCAAAGTAACATGTGTAATACCATCAAAGAGTACAGTATGCACCAGATAAGCTGTGCTGCGATATTGTTGTCTATTCCTTCGGCCATTGTGCATATCCTGTTTTAACTTTGTCTGCTTTTCTGCTGCCAGCGTTTATTTACATTTTCTGTTGCTATAGGGAGCCTAATCTCCTCCCCTTCTGACGGGTCCTCGGAAAAACAAAAAAATTAATGCAAGTGAACGGGGGCCAAAAGTGCTATTTTCTAATTTGCTTTGCCTTGCGCCCTGGATCGCACATATGTTGTATTTAAAATTAAATTCAAACTAATGTGTATTTCGATCACGCCATTCACGTACTGCTATGATTATCAGCTTGTAAGCATGACTACAAATCAGACGTCGGTACGTCGCTTATATGACGTCACCACCGAATCTCTTCTCCCCTAGCGTAGCTGTTACTTACAAAATGTCCAAATTTATGGTGGTTCTTTCCTCCTGAAGGAAGGATTTAAAGTTAGCTGAACTTACAGCCATCTTTCTTCTGCTTTTCTTCGTGTGCGATTCGCTGACATCAAATTGGTGATGCGCATTTGTAGTCCTGGACATATTTTCACACAAAACCTAAAATTACGTTTCCCCCATTCGAAAATAAGCGCATTCTTGGCATTTTAAATCCATATTTAAAATTCACACACATCATATGTAAAATCCAGGGCACATAACAAATGGGATTAGAAAATAGCGTTTTTTGCTCTTTGATTTGCTTTACAAGATATTTTCATTAATCTGGGGACCCATGGTCCAGAAGTAGATGGGGGTGACTTGGGCTTCCTTTAGGGAGCCTAAGTCTCCTCCCTTTTCGGTCGGCTCATGGGTCCCCGGAAGAACGAAAAAATGAATGCAAGTCAACGGGGTCTAAAAACACTATTATCAAAGATAAACAATCAATGATGAACAGGGGTGTGCTTCTAGACCTGCAGAAAAGGGACACACAACAATAAACCAGGAGCAAGCTATCACTGCGTCAACTTGATGAGGAAATATTAAATCAACATTGTTTTACTGAACAATCACACGATAATAGATCACAGTGCATTAAGTACCAACAGCACCTTAAGACGTGTTGAACGTGCCCAAGTCCATACTTATGAGAGCACCATGTAAGCACCTGTGTGTGTACCCACGCTTGTATATGTAAGGTTTCTCTATAGGAGCGTCCAATAGAGTGTGAAGGGCCACAGATCCACCTCCCAAAGATTTGTAGGAGATGGGGGGAGCTCCAAGTCCCAGAGATCCATGGGCTGCCCTAGAGCACAGGGACCCTAGGGAGACTGCAACCAGAAAAGCCCCTTCCCCCTCGAGAGGCGCAGAGGTTTGCCCCGGAAGGCCACAGCCAGCAGCCGGCAGAGTCCCGTGAGATATCAGCGGCAAGCCCACAGGCTCGCCCACAGGCTCGCCCGCAACCTCCCACCCCGTAGCCGTCCGAGCCCAGAACGCAGCAACCCGGGACCCAGGGTCGACCAGCCCTGCCGGGGACCCAGCAGAGCCCAGGGACTCAGACCCCACCAGGCAGCTACCGGGATTCATCAGGCAGATGCCAAAAATCTTAAACCCCCTGACCCGGGAGCCGCGAACACTCAGGCAGACCAAGGCATCACACTCCACACGCAGGGGAAGGGGAGGCGAAGATGTATAGCATCAAAAGAAGTACCAGGAGAGGAGTCAAAAGCCCCACCTGACATATACAGTCATACACAGACACAGTATCACACTCCCTCCCTCATTCTCACACATACACATACAACCTAAGACTTACAAAAATGCACGCCAGATACCCACTCATGCTCCCCATACACACCCTATTTACTCTGGTCCCGCTGCCGCATGTTCCCGCCTTCTTTCCGGCAGAATACAGTTCATGAATTTCTCCAGCCTTATCTTCAGCTTTACCCAGCATGTTTCTGGCCCCACACACACCAGGGGACACACTCTGGACCTTGTTTTTACCCTGAGTCTAAATGCTGACAGTGTTTGTCCTGAGGACGTTTATATTTCAGGTCACCATTGCATTTTCTTTAATTTGTCAGTTTCTGCATCCCCACCTCCTGCTCGCCGCCGTATGGTTAGTTCTCGTTTTCTTAATGAGAGCATAGCTAGCGGTTTTCTTGCTGCTTTTGATCCACCCTGTTCTTCTGATAATGACCCAGATTCCTTAACTTCTCAGTTTAACGAGAACTGCCTCTCCATTCTGGACATCTGTCCTGTCAGAACCAGATCAGTTCCTGCAGTGAACCCTACTCCCTGGTTTAATGACAGCCTTCGCAGCCTGAAGCGCCAATGCAGAAAAATTGAGCGTTTGTGGAAGAAAACCCATCTCCACGTCCATCTGCTGCACCTATAGGATCTTCTGACATCCTTTAACTCTGCAGTCAGAGATGCAAGGGTTTCCTATTTTTCCAACCTGGTGTCCCTGAGCAAAGGAAACCCCAAGGTGTGGTTTAACACCATCAGCAGCATCGTCTCTCCTGCCTCTCCTACAGCCTCCATCCACTCTGTTGCAGACTGTGAGAACTTTCTGTCTTTCTTTGTGGACAAAGTCAATAAGGTCAGATCTAGCATCTCTCCTTCAGCCTTATCACTGCCTCTCCCGACTCCAACCAGACCCATCATCCTAGATAGCTTTGCTCCTGTTTCTTTGCCTGAGCTAACCAAACTAGTTAACTCTATGAAGACCTCTGCGTGCCCCCTCCACATCTTACCCTCATCTTTGTTTAAAAGCGCTTTTCAGTCTATCGGTCCCAGCGTGCTCTCTATAATTAATGCTTCTCTGGTTTCTGGTCAGGTCCCTGCTTACTTTAAGAACGTTGTAATCCACCCGCTTCTTAAACGAGTCTCGACCCCTCTCTCCAAAGCAGCTTCAGACCGATCTCTAAACTTCCGTTCATCTCCAAGATCTATGAAAAGGTTGTGGCTAAACAACTCACAGCTGCTCTTAATGAACATAACATCTATGATTGCTTACAATCAGGTTTTCGTAGAGCTCATTCTACTGAAACAGCTCTTCTTAGGGTCTCTAATGACCTTCTGACTCACAGTGATGCAGGGGACTGTTCTGTTCTGGTCCTGCTGGACCTGACTACAGCCTCTGACACTGTTGACCATCACCTGCCACTGGAGAGACTGAGAGACTGGGTAGGCCTATCAGGATCTGCTCTGGAGTGGTTCTCCTCTTATCTTTCTGAGCGTTCCTTTTCTGTGGCCGTCTCCAAGTTTAGGTCCTCCACCACCTCCCTTACCCATGGCGCCCCACAAGGTTCTGTGCTGGGGCCTCTGCTCTTCCTCCTCTATCTGCTTCCTCTTCAGCACATCCTGAGCTCCTTCAAAGGAACCTCCTACCATGTCTGTGAAGGTTCTCAGTCATCCAGGTCATTGTAGTCTAATGAGCTTTGAAAGAAAATCTCCTACCATCTTTATTCAGATGACATCCAACTGTACATCTCCTTTAAGCCCCATGAGATGTCTAAGCTGCAGCTGTTACACACCTTCTTAGACTATTAAAACCTGGATGGCTGGGAGCTTTCAACAGCTGAATAAAGATGAGACTGAGATCCTCATCTGTGCCCCAGACATGCTGGTTCCCAAAGTCAGAGACTCTCTTGGTCAGCTTGCTTCTCACACCAAACCTTCCGTCAGGAATCTTGGCGTGACCTTTGACCCTGCTCTCACCCTGGATTCTCGTGTCAGTTCTCTTGTTCGCTCTTCCTTCTTCCATCTCAGGAACATTGCTAAGCTGAGTCCCATTCTGTCCCGCTCTGAACTTGAGACAGTTATCCACACCTTCATCTCCTCACGCTTAGACTACTGTAACTCTCTTTTCATGTGTCTGAGCAGAACCTCCCTGAACCATCTACAGGTGGTTCAGAATGCCTGTGCTCGGCTTCTGACCAAGTCCTCCAAACACACCCACATCACCCCGCTTCTCCAGCTTCATTGGCTGCCAGTCAACATCAGGGTTCATTTCAGGATCCTGGTTCTGGTCTATAGGGCCTTACATGGACAAGCACCATCATACACTGGTGATCTTGTTAGTCCCTACACCCCCAGCAGGTCCCTGAGGTCCAGTGGTCAAAGCCTACTGGTTGTGCAGTGCACCAGGCTAAAGACCAAAGGTGACAGATCATTTGCTGCCGTGGCCCCCAGACTCTGGAACTCTCTCCCCCTGAGCCTGAGATCAGTGGACTCAATGAACTCATTTAAAAAGCAGCTGAAGACTCACTTGTTCAAAGTGGCTTTTGTATGACCTTCTTCACCACTCTCTCTTTTTTCTGCTCTCCCCACCTATTCCACCTTCCTCAGGATCCACTGATTTCCCTCTTTCCTAGTCACTCTCTCTCTTTCTTAACATTTTTTTTAATCACATGTCTCTCTGCTGGAGACCGTGGCGCGCTGCTGCGTCCCGTGTTGTTTATTCTGTTATTGTTACCGGTACTTGTCTTGTAGTGTGAAATGCTTGGTCTCAGATTTTGTAAGAAAAATAATAAAAATTTCCCCCCAAAATGCGACTTATAGTCCAGTGCTACTTATATGTTTTTTTTCTTCTTCATTATACATTTTATGGCTGGTGCGACTTATTCTCCGGAGCGACTTATAGTCCAGAAAATACGGTACGTTAAAAATATTGAAAACTTGCTCAAAGCAAAATATATTTTCATTAAGGAAATAACTCATAAACTTATCGGTTTAATACTTTTGTTATTCACAGAATGATAGTTTTCATGAAAAAGCGCCGCAAACCTTCACACAAACTCCATGTGAGCTTCAGGCCGCTAGTGTTTCACAGAGTTAGCTCTGGTTGTAGCTAGGTAGCTACCTCCATTAGCTTAGCTCCCACCTCCACGTTAGCTTTGGGTTAGCTTCAGGTTAGCTTGTAGCTAGTTCGACTGGATGTCGTCATTTGATCCCAGCCTGACAGCCCCACCCTCAGCTCCACTTCTCTTCCCTTTTGTGGAATTGTCTGGGCTTGACGGAACCTGTGACACGGTCAAAATGGCGGTGGTGGCCACCTCCCGTTTTTCCTCAAAAACGTGTTATTGGAGTCTATGGAAACCCATTGTCCATATATATATATATATATATGTCAATGGAGGCAGCAGATAGGAGGAGGAAGGGCTCCACATTGTGACATTTTAATTAGAGGTTTCTCAGAAAATAAGTTTTTCTCTGGCTTTTTTTAAACTTTCTAATTTACATGAAAAGTAGATCACACACAGCTTTGACTTTTTTGTCATGCTACTTTTGACCACCCAAACTGTCTTTATTCACATACAACAAAACAAATCTTAGCTTAGATTCTTTGCCCCCTTTAATATAACTTGTTTTTCTGTCTCATTTTCAATATCCTTTACAGATTTTGTTTTGTTCTGGAGTTCTCAGATTAACTTTGACTTGTGTAGGCTTGAGAACAAGCCATTAACAGCTGTGACCTTCATTTTCAAACTTTTTCTTTTCAGTGTGGGAGAGAAGCCCAAAAACCCCATGGTGGAACTTTTCTATGGCCGCTTCCTTGCTGTTGGAATATTAGAAGGTGAGTGGAGATGTTTAGTTTAAATAGTTAAAGATAAAATGGAGCAGCAGCTGGAGGATCACAGAGGGCTAAAGCTTTAGCATGGTGTGGCATAAGCATCCACAAAGCAAGCAAGTCCTTGCCCATAGTAATAAAAGGTGACCTTGTCTTAATGAGATGTGCTTCATGCAGAACAGCAGAGCAGTTACATTGATTGTAGAAGACCTTGATAGATGATTGACATTGTGTTTATTATGCATGCCAATCCTGGCCCAGAGCCCCCTAAAGCTGGACTTGTGGGTTTTGCTCCTCATCAAATGTCCTTAATGCCTCATCTTTAAGGCCTTTAGCAAGCACTCCTCTTTTGGGCAGTGGGACTGTCATCGGTAGTTGGTATAAAGAAATTAATGCAGACTGCTTAACAGTGGAAAATAGGCTTCACATGTGAAACATCTTTAGTTTTACATTCAAACTCTTTTGTGATCATTTTTATAATTGCACTGGGGCTTGATATGTAAAACTTTGCATATAATCCTTACTAGACCCTATTGAAAATGAAAATGTGTATTTTTACCTTTAATCACTGGAAATATCTATGGAAACACACACACACACACATTATATATATATATATATATATATATATATATATATATATATATATATATATATATATATATATATAATGTAAACAAAATATACTTGTTTTCAGTAACATTTGTTGGGCCCGCCCATTTTTTCTCAGGCCCGCCGACAAATTAGTTTCTTGTTACACTGCTGCTCAGAATGCTCCTCTGTTGATTTCTTTGTGTGTGTAACTCCTCAGGTAAGAAGTTTGAGAACACGGAGATGTTTGGACAGTACCCCCTGCAGGTGAATGGCTTTAAAGACCTCCACGAATGTCTGGAGGCTGCCATGATCGAGGGCGAGATAGAGTCTCTGCACTCAGCTGAGAACTCTGCCAGATCTGGTCAAGAGGTCAGTATAACAAAAAGTACATGCTACAAAACAAGTTACAAGTTATAAAACTTGGTACAAGTTACATGTAATATTGCCCCAATCCAAGCTCCATAGTCGTGGCCTTTCCCCCTGGAAACACTGAGTGGTAATGATTTCTATCAGTAAGCCTGCATTAGCCCACTGATCCAAATGGGACCCGTCTCGTTAAAGATTTCTAAACCTCACCGGCAAGGTCAATAGTCAAACCGGTTAATACATGCAGCCTTACATCTAACCATAAAACCTTTCTCCAGAAGACCATGTCCATGTGGACAGCTGTAGGTTTCTGTCCAGCTTTATTGGTCTTCTCAGTCCAGGCTGATGTGAGACTGTCTTCAGTTGTGGACAAAGACATAGATTCCAGTTCCTGGTGGACTTGATCCTTGGTGGTCCCTGGGTTGTAGGTGAACGTCAGAATTGAATTCCTTCTGTCTGAAGGTGACCGTTTGGGTCTTATTTCAGATATTGGCAGAGCGTCGACTCATTCACAATAGCTACGTTTCCATGGGCGCAAGTAATCGGAATGAGTGCCCTATCTGATGAAGTTCCATTCTGATTGAGAGAAGTGATTTTGTCTGATCATCATTCCGATTGATGTCCATGTACACCTCCATTCGGATTGTTGGAGAAAAATAATGCCCACTGCACATGTGTGCAACTTCAGCGTGACGTCTTTCTGCCTTTGCAGCCGACAAGCTTCAAAACCGGAAGAAAATGTTGTCCACACTCCAGATCGGTAGGTGGCCGTAATGCGCCATGACACCCCAAACAGTTGAAGAAGAAGAACTATGTGAAGGGATTCTACCGCAACAGACACAGAGGATGCAGGTTTTATCAGCGGCGTCGAGAGTTAAAAACCAAAAGGATCAGATTATATTTTGGATGCGCGACGGACGAATGGATGCTGCTTCAATGCTGACACGGCTCATTTCCTACCAGGTAAGAAACCTCTCAACATATCAGAGCTGTATGTCCGCGATTTAGGCTAAGTGAATAAAACCTAGGGATATAGTTATTACCACTTTAGATTATCTAACATCTTTGTGCAGAAGCACGGTAAAAGAAAAAAAATGTTTATTAAGTGGATCTCGAGAATATGCACAGACCCAACGAAGGATTAGGATTAGTTTAGCCTAAAGGGGAACAGAAAATCCAAAGAGAAAATAGTCTGTTGCCATAACTACGCAAAGTTTACAACGTAAAAGCTTGTGTGGACAAGTTCATGAGCGTTGGTTTCTAAAGCTGTTCTGTGTTGCGTTGTGTGTAGGGCAGAAAAAACTGATGTTTGTGAAAATGATCAAACGAATGACTTAGTCAGGAGTCACAACCAGCTTGTTTACATGTTTGTATTAAAATGTGTTTTCCAGCTTCTGGGAGAAGCAGCCTCCGGAAACTGTAACTCAGGGATGTGATGAGAGGCTCAACACCCAGCAAGCAAACAGCAGCTAAAGCCTCATCGGTCATCTCCAATCGAAGCAGCGTCTGAGTGGTCGGTGTCTGTTCTGTCAGACAATTAAGCACAACTACAAACCCACCATCACACCACTGAACACTTTTTCTTATCCGTTTGTTTTCACAGGCTGGGATTCTAGAGGGTAATTCCATTTTACGTGTGTGGCTGAAGGTCAGCATCGACCAATTTGGTATATTTCCCATAAAGCCCAACACCATGATGTAAGTAGTGTGACGTCGTTTGGGCATCAAGAGAAACCTTCTAATTGAAATAATTACCTTTCTCTTCAGAATAGTGCTAGCGCACTTCGCTTCTGTCACATGTAAACTCTTCTAATAAACGTTGTATTTCCTGGTAGGACATGTGGGTCATCATGTCACAGAGAAGCACGACTGGACCCGTGGCTAATGAGACCATGGACCACTTGATGAGATGACCAGTGATGAAGAGCTCATGGTGCCAGGTTCTCCACCACACCAGGCTCATGTTCAGCAGACTCTGGTTGAAGGATGTCACCAAGTGTCTGACCTTTAGGTATATTAATAACTTTGTTTTCAGAAGCAAAACAGCTTTAGTGTCAACATCAAAGCTGACTAATTACATATAGAGATATGTGAATCTTCAAAATGTAGTTCTACAGTTTTAGCTTTGTTTTATTTTGCAGGCCGGCTCCATAACTGCATGCTCACATATGCTGGGAAAAGGTGATTGGATTATGATGCCATCCATTCACCGTTTGTTTGAATTTCCAGCTTTCAAATGAATAATAAACGTACGTAACAAGTCTTACGCCCAAGCTAAATTAGTCCCTTGAAAATGATGCGGTTCAACTTTTATTCCCCCCCCTCCTGCACACACACAGGTTGGCCTTCTCTCCTCCTGTCTATGAAGCATGGTACCTTCTCACTGCATTAGACAACCACCAACCAGATTACATCACCCGGAATAACGAAAAGCTGTGAGTCTCACTGTGTTTGGATCTTCCAGAGTACTGAACATGATCTGGCCTTCAAAATAAGTTGTCCTTTGTGCTGGTTTAGGATCATCTGTCACTGGTTGACTGGAGAGGTAGGAGAAAGAGGGAGCCCTTCAGTTAATCTTTGTAACTCTTGTCTTTTAGATCCAAGTAACTATACAGCAGGAAGTCATGCTATTACTGTGTACAAGTGGTAAAGGGTGCCAAAGACCTACATCCCTGAACTGCAGCGTTGCATCTTGAGAAAGCAGATGGATGGAGGGGCACTCCCAGGAAAGGAGACACGCTACCCTGGTGACCCAGGAAACCCTGCAGGAGCTCTCCACTGCTCACCTGCTTCCCAGATCCCCACCCCATCCCCGTGGACCACCTCAGTGAAACCCCCTGTGTCTGGAGACTCGTGCCTGCCACCACCCTCAGACTGGACTACCCTCTTGAGCTCCATGGCTCCAGAGACCGTAAGGACCCCTCCTCGAGTTATTCTCCAGCCCCCCCTCCCCCCCCCTCCCCCCCCCCTCAAGGTGCTACCGGGACTGTGTTGCAGAAACCTTCCTGAGTGAAGCTGACCCACTAGCCTCACGTTGATGGCGCACCTTTAGTTCTTCTGTTTACATAATAAAATATTACCGTATTGACCCGAATATAAGACGAGTTTTTTTTTATTGAAAATAATTTAAACGTGGGGTTGTCTTATAATCGGGGTCTAACCATTTCCACATGCTGATATTTGTCTGGGGTCATTCTGGAAAAGCAAATCAGTGCCGTAACCAAAGCTAGTTTTTATCAGTTAAGGAGGATCGCCAAGTTTAAGCGTCTGCTCTCAATCCATGACTTTGAGACGGTGATTCACGCGTTTATTACATCACGCCTTGACTATGACAACTCACTGTACCTTGGTCTTCCTCAGTCTCACCTCTCCCGTCTTCAAATGGTGCAAAATGCAGCAGCACGCCTATTGACGGGTTCGAGAAAAAGGGATCACATCACCCCAATTTTAGCTTCGCTGCACTGGCTGCCTGTCGATTTTAGTGTCCTGTACATGGTTCTTTTACTGGCTTTTAAAGCTGTACATGGCCTTGCTCCGCAGTATCTGTGTGAACTTTTAGTTGCTCACTCCCCGTCTCGGTCACTGAGGTCAGCTGACCAGTTTCTGCTGGAGGTGCCGAGAATGAAGAGAAAGCTCAGGGGTGATGGAGCTTTCTCAGTAGCAGCCCCAAGGTTGTGGAATGCACTCCCAATCCACATTAGGATGGTTTTAAATCACTTTTAAAGACTCATCTGCTCTCCGTTGCTTTTAATTCTGTTTGAGAAGCATCTGTTTTAGAAGCTTTTATGTCAGTTTGATTTGTTTGTTTTTGTCATGTTTTTACTTTTCGATGAACTTTTACCTTATTTTTAGCATTTTAGGAAACTTCTGTTCGTTTGCTTGTTAAGCACTTTGGTCAGCTTTTATGCTGTTGTAAAGTGCTTTATAAATAAAGTTGACTTGACTTGACTAATTACACGCCCGTAACGGCAGAGGCTGCTGCTAATCAAACCTTTACATTTTAGCACTGATGGGACGTCAGTATTGTAGTTGGTTTGGTTGTTGAAACCCATTTCTCCTATCGCTCCGCAGCGCGCAAGCGGCAAAAACGCACTCGCTCACTACAAGCCCGTTCCTGCGGCGCACTCTGCCCACACACAACAGAACTGCAGCCCCGTGCGTGTTTTGTGCACATCAATACTTGATGCTGGAGCTAATTCAGTTGTTGAAGGTATCAACCCTGCATATGGATCACCTCAGATAGCTTGTCCATGCAGATATTTATTTATTTAACGAGAACAAGAGATTCAATTATTACAAAAGCAACATAAATAAATAGCGTACCAGGCGAAGCTGAAGTTGGTTTCCTATTTTAGTTTCAGAGTCAGCGAGGGAAATTCAATAAATATTTTCACTCCCTGAGCATTTTTACTCTGCTCTCATCATTACACATTTACAAAACTTAGACTCTTTAAAAGTGGACTGGGTAATTCTGCACTAATACAGAATCCTTAAGAGACATTTTCTGATTTTTAAAACCTTTATTTCATTTGTGGCGGTTCAAAGCAAGCAGACTTCATTACATTTCTAGTCCACCTTAGATCTGGTCCAGCTCTAAACTACAACACTTGGACTCCTCAGGCCTGAACTAGATTATTCTACAATAACAGCAAAATCCATAAATGACAGTTAGTAAATTGTGAAACCTTCAGTAGATTAGTGAGTCCAAAGAAGACAACTTTCTTCAATGATGTATTGTGACTTTGGATTATTATGTTGGCAACATGTTTTTTTCAGTACTACAGGATTATCAAGTCAAAGACATTTTATTGTCATTTCTACCACATGTGCAAGACATACAGAGAAACGAAATTGAGTTTCAGTACACACAATTCAGAGATCAGACATACATGGGCAAGACACATGACAAGAATTGGTGACTGCGGTCATTCGCAACATGAGTCGCGCTACCTTATATTGTTATAAACTGTAGGCTGCGTTTATCTCAAGAGTTTATATTGGTCACCCATGAAATAAAACATTTTATACTTCGAGCTGATTAAAGATGCAGGAAGTGAAATAATTAGCTGGAATTCACCTTTCCACATCAGAAACTGGAAAATGAAACCAATTCAGTTTTGTACAAAACAACAATAAAACAAGAAGAAAGAATAAATAAAAGATTTAGCCAAATTATGAAGATAAAAAATCAAATTTAAAAATTGTGGTCATTTTTGTGACCCTCTAAACTACCTCACCATGCATTTTGCTTAATCTGCCATTATGATGTGAACAAAAGCCACCAGGGAGCTGCAGCTTATGAATAAATTAGCCCCGGTGGTGAGTGCTTATGCACTTGGAGCCAGTTTAATATCACATTCTTGAAACCTGTTGCAATATAAAATATTTAAATGTTGTTAATTTTGATTAAGTAACTTGTGGCTATCAGCTTGTATAAGCACACATATAAGGTAAGAAACTGCCACTTTTGAGTTCTACTGTTTAATAATAAAATACATGATACATTGGATTTTTCAAGAAGATGTTTCCAGCCAGGGAACGAGGAAATTACAGCATGGAAAGCAACAGAGTTGCAAAAGTCAGCAAAAAAAGACAAAAAAAAAAAGCACAGCGCATGTGGTACTCAAAAATTTTGACAGTTTGCACGTCTGCAGTTGGATCAGGGAATTTTTCATGTGTGCAAAGAACAGAGCAGCTTGGTGTTGGCCTCCGATTCCCCCTTCCCAGACGCTCAATTTGCCAGATTGTGAACTGGCGTTAGAAACAGAAACTCTCTGTCTCGGCTGCCCTCGATCGAGAAGATTGGGTCCTGGTGTCTCTTGTTGGAACACCAGGATATCCAGCATCAGCCCTGGTAGACAGCACCACTCTCTGGAGAATGTTGTCTCTTTCCTCCTGGCTCAGATGTTGTGAAGCTGTTTAGAAATGAATCGGGAACATTTGTTTACATGACTAGATTCATATCTCAAGCCAGTGCTTAGTTGTTTACATTGTTTTTTACTCAGATGGTTAAACCTCAGCTATGCTGCAGCTCCAGCTGTGTGAGGTCTCTGTCTTCTTCCATAAGAGCTGCTCCATCACTCCTCCTGAATTCAATTCCTGAAACCAAAACAATGACAGTAATGATAAAAATAACTACTACCTTCAAGGGGATGATTTACTGTATATGATGCATTTTTTGTAATCCAACATTGGAATTTGTGTTCTTATTTAGGTTGTTGTGTTGCCTTGTCCTGTAATGCAAGTGGTTTACCAAACAATCTTAGTAGCTTGAAACATTGGATGTTCTAACACGATAATATTAGCTTAGCTTGTTAGCAAGCTTTATCCAAACTAATAGCTATAATTAACCTAAAACCACCATAAATCACCAGCAGCCACAAAGCCTTATGCTAATAAAGTAGCATCATGCTACTGTCCAGCTCACCAGTCATTAAACCGGCTGCTGTGTTTGTCAGAGGAAGGAGCACTTGCTTTACATCTCCAGTGTCATGGCTAAATATGACAAATGTCAGGTTAGCCTAAAGTAATGTTGTTACTTAGTCGCTCGACATGGTGCTGGTTTTCATACCGGGAAGGTCCATAATGGGGGAAAAAACAAGTCAATGAACAAAGCTAGAGAATAAGCGAGGCGAAAGATTATGTTTGTTTACAAATTGTTTTCTGAGAAAGACAACTCTGCGCATGCTCAACTTATTTAATCTGACTGAATGCTTGATGTATGTATACTCATGGCATGATCGGATCATTTCAGTTAGTGTCCATGTAAACAGAGATTTAGGATTTCCAATCAACCAAGATTTGAATGGAATAGGGCAAATTTGGCACATGTAAATTTAGCTATTGTTTGTATTTAGTGGTTTGAACTAATGATCTCGTTTAGAAATGGCTCCACAGAGATTTTTCAACATGTGTAAATTCTGCTTTTTGGATCTTCACGTATTTCCTTGGACCGTCTCATTCTGTCGAGTGCTGGACTGAGCTCTTAGTTCTAAGACATAAATATTTATGTGCTCAGCCCTTTCAAGTTAAAAGACCTTCTAGAAGCAGCAGCTGAACTGCTTTTGGTGACTTTGTGGAAGCCAGAAAATCTACAGACCCATCCCAACTCTTTTCTTCTACTCTTTAATGAATCATTTACCCATTAATTATAGAATTGTGTTTATAATTATTCAACCCTTAAAAAAACCTTGAAATCAAACATTCAAAGACCTTCCTCTTCGTGATACATAAACAGACTAACTGCAGTAGTAAGGACCATGTTACCACCCTGACCTAAGTAGTGTGTTAGTAGTGCGTGTTCTACTGAGTCAAACACGAGGCTTACGTTGGTGTGGAAAAGAAAACTAACGTTAAGCAGTTATTTTGATCAGGAGACTGAGAACAGACACATGGAGTCCGTCCTCTTCATTCTGATTTGAATGCGTTCACAGCGTAGCAAAGGTAGATGAACAACATTTTGCTATTCTGTACACACAAGAATCGGAAAAAGGAATTGCAGTCAGTCTTGCAGTTTTTAAAGGTTCACCGAAGAATGGTATCAGTGATCAACATCCAAATGTCTTCCAGCACTGGTTTACCGAACTCCCACCTGTGCTGACCTTTGAACTGTCGAGATTTGAGTTCAATCAGGCCCTCGGGCGACCCGAGAAGATCCACAGCAAGCTGGAGTTTTCGTCTGTGCTCTACATGGACAGGTGACTGACACGCTAAAGCACCTGGGCTCTCATTTATCAATCGTACTTATGAACAGATCTGTGCATATTTTGTGCGTAGGACCAATGTTACGCATTGTGTGGTATTTACCAGTTTGCACTTGTGTGTAGAAATGTTCCTACATATTAGAACAGCTATGACCGTGTGTATGAACAGCATCTAGCGGTAGAACGGGGGAACCACAGTACTGAAGGTCTCAGTCGCCCACACATGTTCCTTATCCACAAATCCTTTTACCCAATAAATAATTATGTCGATGGAAAAACGGCCTTTTCTCATATTTGGTGCTAAAACCAATGAAAGACACGTGTGACCGACGGGATCTGACATTACGTCATGGCTAATCTGTGCTTGTGGAGGATTTAACAACGCGTGCACACTAGAGGGAACACATCCTCCGTGAGCGCTCTGCTCTCCCGAAAGAAATCCTGCTATGCTGGGATTTAGGGCCCTTTGTGGCGCGACAGACAAACCTCACGAATCTAATTCCACTTCATGTTTTATTTTACAACTACGAGAACCCTTCAGAACCTCCTCTGCTCCCAGATCATACACACGCCGCGTTGCCAAGGTAACCAGACTGAATTAGAGCTCAGAAGAGGCAACTCAGACAACATTTCCAAATAAAACAAAGTTTAAACAGAACGGCTCCTTAACAGCCCGCTACTCCATGATTTATCAGATTCATTATTTTGTTTCTGACAGGAACCTCTACTCTGTCCCGACTGCATTTTTAGTCTCTTCAACTTGTTTGGTTCTTTTGTGCTTCGGCAGCTAGTGTCTCGATCTCGCTGTCCAGAAAGGTTTTCTTTGTTTCCGGGGAAACAATGGAAATTCCCTCACGTGCTGAGGACGATGCGCGACCAAATATGGTTAATTGAGGGCGTTTCTGAATGTAAATGACCGAGAACGGACACATGCACCTGGGTGCATTTATTATCAGACAGTTGAGGAGGAGCTTGCGTACGAAAGGCCACTGCATGTTTTATAAATCAGGTTTTTGACTGTTTGTACACACATTCTAAATTTCATTCGTAGGAAGGAATATAGGACAGTTTCTACGAGCATTTGTTAAATGAGGGCCCTGGTTTGCTCTGTTTACTATAACACAGTGTTACAGTGACGTTGCTGCTGCATGTTCAGGTACATGGACCGAAACAGGGAAATAACTAGAATCAAGAGGGAGGAGATCAGAAGGCTGAAGGAGCATCTGACGCTGCTTCAGCAGCGACTGGAGAGGTATTCCTTGACCTGCTGGGCTCTGGAGGGATGCCAGACGCTGTTATTTTGTTTCTCTCTCTGTGACGCCTGATCGCTTTCGTTTCCTTCCAGGTATCTGAGTTATGGTTCCGGCCCCAAGAGATTTCCTCTGGCGGACGTCCTCCAGTACGCTATGGAGTTTGCCTCCAGTAAACCTGTGTGCACATCCCCGGTGGAAGACATAGACACATCAGCACCCCCTGGTGGCACAACTGGACAGCAGTTACCATCGCCAAGGCAAGCTGAAGCTGTGTTTATTGCTGCTGTCTAACCGCTAAGCCCTCCTCATTACTTCTAAGGATGTGGCTGCGTTGTGACTCATCTATGAAACCTCTTTCAGTGTGAAGCCAGTCACGATGCTCTCTAGTTGGTTTATATTCACTGGGATGTTCCCTGACCTTTAGACATTGTCAAGCCCGCTCATGTGTGAGTGCCCCTCGTCATTCATCACTATTTAATGAAATCTAAATTATAAGGGCACCAGGTTTTTTTTTTTTTTTTACTTCACCACACTTTAAAATTTGCATGCTGACCAGTCATCACCCATCAGCCTTGCTGTTGTTTATCTTTTCTGCAGCACAGCCGAGCAGGACGCCCTACCTCCTGCAGAGAGCTTGGGCCCCACCTCAGCTCCCTCCACCGCTCCTTCTGTAGCTCAGCAGCAGAGAGTTCCTGTTCATAAGCCCTTCACCCACTCCCGGCTACGCCCTGACCTGCCCATGCACCCTGCCCCACGCCACATCACTGAAGAAGAGCTGAGGGTGCTCGAGGGCTGCTTGCATCGCTGGAGGAGCGAGGTGGAGAACGACACCTGTGGTAAGTCTCTGAGACCACTGCTGGAGATGGACACAGAACGTTTGATTTGCACACATTCACTTATTGGACATGACGGTCTTCCTCCTGTCAGACCTGCAGGGCAGCATAAGCAGAATCCACAGATCCATAGACCTGATGTACTCCGACAAATCCATGATGCAGGTGAGCAACACTCACACATCGGTGCACATCACCCGGCAGCTCCTTTTGACCTCCCTTGTATTTTTGTAGGTTCCATACCGGCTTCATGCAGTGCTGGTCCACGAAGGCCAGGCCAACGCGGGTCACTACTGGGCGTACATCTACGATCCTCATCAGTGTTGCTGGATGAAGTACAATGACATCTCCGTCACCAAGTCGTCCTGGGAGGAGCTAGTCAGGGACTCGTTTGGAGGCTACCGCAATGCCAGTGCCTACTGTCTGATGTACATCAACGACAAGAAGCCATTCCTCATCGAAGGTGAAAATCAGCCGCTGGCGTTCATGTGTGGTAACGCCTAATATTTTGTCAAAATTGAAACTAGAACAGTGCTCTAGAACTGGTCGCATTTGTCATGCATCAGCTGGTAATTCTATTAATTATTAAGGAAAGGATTCATTAAAATCAGTTGTCAAATGTATCTGGACAGCTCAACTCTCCAGAAAACTTGTAGAAACTAGGGAAGCTCCGATCCAATCCCGTGATCAGAAACCAGGCCCAATCAAAAGATTTAAAAAGGATTGGGAGTAAATGATCGGAAAACACGACTTTTTTAATTTATCCTGAGAGAGAGATTTTCAGATGGAGTAACAATGGCTTAGTTGCCATTAGTTGGTGGAAACGTGCATTGATCAATTCAGCTGCATACCGAGGGAGTAAACAACTTGAAATATAAGCAACGATGGTACTTTTAAATATGTTCATAATATAATGAACATATTTTACACATATCCTGACACTGTTTTATAATCGGTGTACTTCCTAAACTAGTGAAAGTGAAACTTTAAGGACAACGTATTTTAATGCTTTCTTGAAAATTATCAATTCGGACTGTATCGGTAGATGACTCCGAATCGAATCGGGAGCAAAAATATGTGATTGCAACATCCCCAGCAGAATCGTTGTCAAACTGTTGACTAGTAGCAGATGAAACAAACGGTTTGATCTGAAACCCTCAGGTTAAAGTTCAGGGGTCTCATGTGTAGCGTTATGGATTTATGCTCTTTTATGAAAGAGAAACCGTGCTACGTATTAATTCGGAATATTAATTTTAATAAATCAATAACCAAATTTTATATTGTTCAGAAGACTCAAAGGTTGTTTTCATCCATAAACTGCCGATAATATCTGAGTGTCTGTGTTTCAGTTCAATGAGGAAACAAGTTTGAAGGATTAAAAGTTTTAATTATTCAAATTAAACTAATGATTTTGGAGCCAGGCCTGGGGTTGGGGCCCGTGAGCGAGCGCCTGGTGGCCGGGCTTTCGCCCATGGGGCCCGGCCGGGCCCAGCCCGAACCGGATACATGGGCTCGTCCAACTGTGGACCCACCACCCGCAGGAGGAACATGAAGGGTCCGGTGCAGTGTGGATCGGGTGGCAGACCAAGGCGGGAGCCTTGGCGGTCCAATCCCCGGACAAGGAAACTAGTTTTTGGGACATGGAACGTCACCTCGCTGGCGGGGAAGGAGCCGGAGCTTGTGGCAGAGGTTGAGCGGTACCGGCTTGATATAGTCGGACTCACCTCGACACATTGCATTGGCTCTGGAACCCGAGACCTGGAGAGGGGTTGGACACTCTACTTTGCTGGAGTTGCTCCGGGTGAGAGGCGGAGGGCTGGGGTTGGCTTTTTGTTAGCCCCGAGACTCTCTGCCTGTGTGTTGGGGTTTACCCCGGGGGACAAGAGGGTAGCTTCCTTGCGCCTTCGGGTCGGGGAACGGGTCCTGACTGTTGTTTGTGCTTATGGGCCAAATATCAGTTCAGAGTACCCACCCTTTTTGGAGTCCCTGGGACGAGTGCTAGATAGTACTCCATCAGGGGACTCCATTGTCCTGCTGGGGGACTTCAATGCTCACGTGGGCAATGACAGCTTGACCTGGAGGGGTGTGATTGGGAGGAACGGCCCACCTGATCAGAACTCGAGCGGTGTTTTGTTATTGGACTTCTGTGCAAGCCGCAGTTTGGCCATAACGAACACCATGTTCGAACATAAGGATGCCCACCGGTACACTTGGTACCAGGGCAGCCTAGGTCACAGGTCGATGATAGATTTTGTAGTCGTATCATCTGACCTGCGACCGTATGTTTTGGACACCCGAGTGAAGAGAGGGGCGGAGCTGTCAACTGATCACCACCTGGTGGTGAGTTGGATCAGATGGCAAGGGAACATGCCGCGTAGACCTGGCAGACCCAAACGCATAGTGAGGGTCTGCTGGGAACGCCTGGCAGAAGAACCTGTCAAGACGGTCTTCAACTCCCACCTCCGGCAGAGCTTTGACCACGTCCCGAGAGCAGTGGGGGACATTGAGTCCGAGTGGGCCTTGTTCCACTCTGCGATTGTCGAGGCGGCTGTTGCTAGCTGTGGCCGTAAGGTGGCCGGTGCCAGTCGTGGTGGCAACCCCCGTACCCGCTGGTGGACACCAGAGGTTCGGGGAGCCGTCAGGCTGAAGAAGGAGGCCTACAGGGCGTGGCTGGTCTGTGGGTCTCCGGAGGCAGCAGACAGGTACCGGATAGCCAAGCGGGGTGCAGCAGTGGCAGTTGCCGAGGCAAAATCTCGGGCGTGGGAGGAGTTTGGTGAGGCCATGGAGAAAGACTATCGATCGGCTCCAAAGAGGTTCTGGCAAACTGTCCGGCGCCTCAGGAGAGGAAGGCAGCAACTCGCTCACACTGTTTACAGTGGGGATGGGGAGCTGCTGACGTCAACTGAGGCTATAGTCGGACGGTGGAAGGAATACTTTGAGGAGCTCCTCAATCCCACCAATGCGCATTCCGAGGAGGAACCAGAGCTGGGAGGCCTGGGGATGGACTGTCCGATCTCGGGGGCAGAAGTTGCTGAGGTAGTCAAACAACTACACAGCGGCGGAGCCCCGGGGGCGGATGAGGTTCGTCCTGGGTATCTCAAGGCTATGGATGTTGTAGGGCTGTCATGGTTGACACGTCTCTACAACATTGCGTGGTCATCGGGGGCAGTTCCTAGGGAGTGGCAGACCGGGGTGGTGGTCCCCATCTTTAAGAAGGGTGACCTGAGGGTGTGTTCCAACTATAGGGGGATCACACTCCTCAGCCTCCCTGGAAAGGTCTACTCCAAGGTACTGGAGAGGAGGGTCCGATCGATAGTTGAATCTCAGATAGAGGAGGAGCAATGTGGTTTTCGTCCTGGCCGTGGAACTGTGGACCAGCTCTATACCCTTGCAAGGGTGATGGAGGGGGCATGGGAGTTTGCCCAACCAATCCACATGTGCTTTGTGGATTTGGAGAAGGCTTATGACCGTGTCCCCAGGGGCACCCTGTGGGGGACGCTCCAGGAGTATGGGGTGGGTGGCTTTCTGTTAAGGGCCATTCAGTCCCTTTACCAGAGGAGCGTGAGTTTGGTCCGCATAGCCGGTAGTAAGTCGGACCTGTTCCCAGTGAGGGTTGGACTCCGCCAGGGCTGCCCTTTGTCACCGGTTCTGTTCATCACTTTTATGGACAGAATTTCTAGACGCAGCCGTGGTGTGGAGGGTGTCGAGTTTGGTGGCAGGAGAATCTCGTCTCTGCTTTTTGCGGATGATGTGGTCCTCCTAGCTTCATCCAGCTCTGACCTTCAGCTCTTGCTGGGTAGGTTCGCGGCCGAATGTGAAGCGGCTGGGATGAGGATCAGCACCTCCAAATCTGAGACCATGGTTCTCGACCGGAAAAGGGTGGCTTGCCACCTCCAGGTCGGGGGAGAGGTCCTACCTCAAGTGGAGGAGTTTAAGTATCTCGGGGTCTTGTTCACGAGTGAGGGTAGGAGGGATCGGGAGATCGACAGGCGGATTGGTTCGGCATCTGCAGTGATGCGGACGCTGAGCCGATCTGTCGTGGGGAAGAGGGAGCTGAGCCAGAAAGCCAGGCTCTCGATTTACCGGTCGATCTACGTCCCAATCCTCACCTATGGTCATGAGCTTTGGGTAATGACCGAAAGAACGAGATCGCGGGTACAAGCGGCCGAAATGAGTTTCCTCCGTAGGGTGGCCGGGCTCAGCCTTAGAGATAGGGTGAGGAGCTCGGACATTCGGGAGGGACTCGGAGTAGAACCGCTGCTCCTCCGGATCGAAAGGAGCCAGTTGAGGTGGTTTGGGCATCTGGTCAGGATGCCTCCTGGACGCCTCCCTGGGGAGGTGTTTCGGGCATGTCCTGCCGGCAGAAGGCCCCCGGGTCGACCCAGGACACGTTGGAGAAGTTACATCTCCAATCTGGTCCGGGAACGCCTTGGGGTCCTGCCGGAGGAGCTGGTGGACAAGGCCGGGGAGAGGACGGCCTGGAGCTCCCTAGTTGGGATGCTGCCCCCGCGACCCGGACCCGGATAAGCGGAGGAAGACGAGACGAGAGACGAGATTTTGAAAATTGACAAACAGGAAATAACAATCACATTGGCAACTTTGTGGGACAATCTTTTAACAGTTTATATGCTGTTCTTGCTCAAATAGACCTTCTGGTGAATTTATGAAGATTGAGAATGTTGTGACATGAATGCGTGTGTGAGTCTGATTTTGCTTCAAGAAGAAACAGGTGTCTGAGTGAAGTGATGGTTTGGATAAACTTAGGTCTTATCAGAGAACTGCATCAAACGCTAAAACCGTGCTCTGTCTCACCGAACTCTTGTGGACCCTCTTTCGGATCCGGGCCGTGGAGGATGTTGTGGTTCATCCAGATGACACCGGCGGCTGACAGGAGACATAGGTGTCGAACGGAACCGGTCCAGAGTTGCCCTCGGTACACGTGGATGGTAGAGCGTTTTATCGATGCGCTTTCTTAAGTTAATTCACTCAGAAATCAAAAGACTCGGTAATGAGTCTTCGTTAGAAGTCGCGATTCAGCTATTCTGCCTGGCTTGGCAGAAACAGCGTGAAAGGGGGGAAGAACGAGCCAACAGGCTCTGCCCCCCCTTTGGTTTTCAGGTCTGTTCTCTCTCGTTGTCCAACACGAACTGAATCCAAAGACTGAAAACTTACCAAAAACCTTTCTCTTCTCAAATCAAAACATGTGCGTCATCAAATGTGTCTGGAGTTTACTGTGGGCAAGATGTGTGTGGGTGTGTGTGCTTGAGTGTGAAGGTCAGTACCACACATTCTTAACATTATTTAAGAATGGATTCATTAAACCATTATAATTACCCCAAAGCATACTAGTCATTCATTTGATTAAACACATTTATAATGAGCAAAATGATAATGGTTATTTTAACATTAAAATCAAGAAAAAGAAGTTTAAACTTTATGTTTTGACTTGGTCTGGGTACAACTCATGTAAACACATCTTCTGGTAGACTGCAGGTGGCAGATGTTATGGTTTCCTCCCAGACTCGCTGGCGTTCAGGTCTTAATCTGTGGGTGAAAGTTCTCAGCGACCCAGCTATGACCCAGCTGAGTCCAACACCACCATTGTGACAGAAAACTCATATTTCCTCACGTTACACATGTATCAAACATTGCGTAGAATCCTTACTAAAACCGTAATTAAGCTCAGCAAAAAAAATGTACTTACGCCAAGTAGGTTTGTGATCCATCAAACGTGGAGTACGCAATCTCCACTTCATAAACCAGAGGCTATCTAGAAAGGTTCTCAGCTGCATTTTAGTCACATCCCGCCCTCACCACGCCCACTTACTGCCATAAATGGCCAGTGCAAAGTGCCTTGTGGATCTCATGCATACACATAAGCCGGCTTTTTGCAGCATTTTGATTACGACCGCAGATCAACGAAGCGCTATTTCACAGAAGCAGAAGTTGAGGTACTTGTGGGTGAGGTGGAGAAATGAAAGGAAGTGCTTTTGCAAAACAAATAAGAGAACATCCACGGAGTGGCGCAGCGTTGCTGAAGCCGTCAATGCTGAGTTCTTCAGAGAGATCTGTGGCGGATATAAAAAAATGGTCCAAACGGGATTCGATCCCCAGACTCCCAGGTGAAAGTCATGCACACGCTAACCAGTCACCCAAACGGAGAGCTACCCTGTACATGTAGCCAGGGCGCATGATCAATCGGGTCACAGTGACAGGACACACACTGTCACACACGCATGACATTCTGTCTCAATCTGCCCCCCTGCTGATATTCTGCATTCCGTATTCTGCCCTTCAGGCTGCGTGTGTGTGTGTGGGGTAGGGGGGGTCTTGTTCTGTGTGAAAACGAAGCAGTACAAGTGATAATGCTGCAGGATTTCATAATTGTATCTTCTCAGCAGCAGCACTGCAGGCGCTCTCCATGTCCAACATGTGTGTAAGCCAGCTCCTTAGTCAACTTAAAGTTGTGCACATTTTTTCGCTACGTTTTCTTTCATAAATCCCAAAGTTTGCGTGGAAAGTTGCTTACGCAGTTTTCCGACCCCGTTTTGTGTGCAAGCAAGCTTGATGAATGAGGCCCCTCCTCTGCAAAGCCAGTCCTTATTCTTCCCTCATGATCTAACTGTAAAGTTTCCTAACCATCCAGCACATTGCTGATTCTACCTTTTAAAAGAACGCATTACAGGATTTTGGATGTTTTCCTGCAGACCCTTTAATGTTGCTCCTCCCACTTTGTTACAGAGGAGTTCGATAAAGAAACAGGCCAGATTCTCAGTGGCATGGACAAACTGCCCCCAGACCTGAAGCGGTATGTGATTGAGGACAACGAGTTGTTTGACAAGGAGGTAGAGGAGTGGGACGCCATGCAGGCCCGCAAAGCCCAGCAGGAGAAGTTAGACCTGGCCTCAGCAGCTGCTGCTTCCACCGCAGCGTCCAGCACTTCCACGTCATCATCTTCTCCGCAGCCAATGAGCATCGAGTCCAGTCCTCCAGACAATGCGGGTATGGGTCATGTACTCCAAAATCAGAACAGCAAAATGGGTTTTAACACAGGACTTAGTTAAAGGCCTTCATGTTAACAACATTAGACTTTAATCAGCGTTTAAGTCATTTAAAACCTACAGTTAAACCTGCACTTCATGCTTCTCACTCGCAAACTAGACTCCAGTGTTTTCCTGCTGAGTGACAGACGACTCTTGCTACTGCTCGGTGTAAAAGTGAAAACGGTTAAAGACCCTCCTGCTCATTAGCTCAGGATACTTGTTACTTCCTTTAACTCGAACTGCTTTGATGTGGGTTAAAGCACCTGCCTGTTGGTGGTTTTCCCTTCCTGCAGCTCCTCAGCAGGACCCAGAGTACATGGAGCAGCCGTCACCCACAAACGACTTCAAGCACCTGCAGGAGGACACGGAGAGGGCCATCTCCAGAGCTGTTGCTGCTGCTGCTGCTGCTGAGCAGGACCGGAGCCCTGAAGCCTTATTAAACACTGTACGTTCTCTTAGGTCAATGCTTTTACCTGCACTTCAGTTGTCCTTGTGACATTGTTTCCTTCTGTGTGCGTGCTGAAGAATGATTTTTGTTAAGCAAATTTAACAGCAGCTTCTAAAAGTGTAAACAGGAACATGGGCGTGTCTAGCAGGTCTAACACTGAAGCTGTTTTAGTTTTCACTCCGTCTACGTTTGAAATCACAAAGTTAAAATGATGCTTCAAGCAGACGTGAAAATTCCTCACCTTTCCGCTGAATTCAACGTTTTGAATCCAAAATGGGTCACCTAGGTGATATTTTGGGGTGGGGGTGGGGGGTGCACGGCGAGGCCAGCTTTTCCAGTTTAACCAGTTTCAATATTATCCACTGGGGGAAATATTGATGAGTAACAGTAGAACAGTAGAAAAAAGCTCGTCTGGAAGTCTCCTGTGTAGACCTCCAGATGATGGCTCTTCCTGCTTGTATGGTCCGAGCCTGAACAGCGTACCGACGGGTCGGATCGGACTTGGGTCGATTAATTTTACTTGAGTGTGATGAGTCGCGCTAGGAGAGGGGGGAGAAGAGGATGCACCGCACATGAAACTCAGTAGCAGCGTTACCATTCATCCATGGTGGTGAAGAAAGGTGAATGAAGTCTCTGGTCATCCGGTTTTGGGCTGAAAGTCCTCGGGCCATTTCAGTTTCAGTCTTTGGGTCTGGTTGGGCTCTACTGCGCTGCTGCTGCTGGCGGGGTGGGGGGGCACGGAGGAGCTCACAACAGCTGTCAGCCTGTGGAAGTTCCTGCTGAACTTTATTCTGTTTCATGAACCAGGCTGACCTGGGTTTATGTTGAATTCAGCTTTAAAACTGGGAGAAAACTTTAGTCTGCCTTTGAGTTTGATGTTTTCTTCTCCTCAGAGACTCACTGGATAGAAGGAGATGATAAAAGTCAACAGGTCCCCAAAGGAAGGGTTAGTTAGCTGGTTAGTCAAGTCATTAAACCCTAATCCAGCCCACTGCCTCCTGCTGGTGTTGTTGTTATTATTATTATTATTGTTATTAATAACACAAATATAAAATAAACATCTTGGAGGTTCAGGATTCGTGGTGGTTTTGGTGTTTTCAGCAGCAGAGCCTGCATGGTTCGTGTTTGTCACATTTCCTTTTGGGTTCAAACCAAACAACAGACCAGGCCAAACGTGTTATTTATTTATCTGATTTCATCCATAATTCATTTAGTTTTTAAAGCTCAAATTTTAAGTTGTTAATTTAAAAACAATTGTTTAAATATAATTAATTGGTATTTTTAACATGGGAGTCAATGAGGATTTACTCGCTTCTGACACCAGCCCCCCAGCGGATGAGGGTGGAACTGCAATTTTTGGTACTTCCGGGTTGGCCTCAGTTTTTGAGCCGCATTGTGGGGGCTTGGTTTATACTCACCAGGTGATGGATCTGGTGACCTGGCGGGACCAGCTTCTGTTTGGCGTCTGAAACGCTTCCTGTGGCAAGGAAGCTCTTGGCTAGACCATGTTTATGATGTTACACGCTGCTTATTCGTCCAGGCTGGATGAACTCATCTGCGCACCACGGTGGCGTTTGTAACAGTCAGCCCAAGGTGGATAGCAGAATGAGAGCAAAACACATTGGCAGCATACAGCGCTCACAAAATGTGATCAGTGTGGATTATGACCCTCAAAACTCTGTGGCAAGATGTCTATGACTCTTTTATAGGAATCACTACACACAGTGGTGGCAGTTCTGTAGCATGAGGTCAGCTGACCTGCTGCAGGTGTCTGTGCGTCCCAGTCCCATTTGTTTGTGTTTACATGTGTTTTAAACTGTTTGAAAGGTACTGAGTGTTGTATCCTAAAGACACCTATGTAATGTAATAGTATTATTAGTATGTGACAATAATTTATACTCACAAGCTTTAGGTACCACTAAACGGCCCCACTCTGCCCGCTGTGGTAGGACTAGGGCCGTGATGTACTTGCTGTTTGTCGCAACCTGTTTGAAATGGCTGCCATTTGTTACTTGCATTGATTTGAAGCATCATTTGTGCACGCCCCTCGAAATTAACGCGCCGTGTTCGAACACTGCAATAAACGAATAAACCAGTAAGTAGAGTGAGATGCACTTACCATGGTGACTGCCTCTGGTTAGAGGTCTTTGACACCATCTACGACACCGTTGCTGCCTTTTTTCTGTCAGAATCTCACAATTATTCCTGTTGCGTCTTTTATTGATGCCATGTTTGTTTTGGTTGTACCCACAGACCCGACTCTATCCGGTCTGAGTTCTTTAGTGTGCTCCCTAGTGGAACACTCCAGTACTACATGCAGTGCAGTGCTGTGTAGCAAGTACAGGGTGGGCCGTTTCTATGGATACGCCTTAATAAAATGGGATGGTTGGTGATATTAACGTTCTGTTTGTGCCACATTAGTATATGTGAGGGGGCAAACTTTTCAAGATGGGTGGTGGCCATTTTGAAGTCGGCCATATTGGATCCAACTTTTGTTTTTTTTCAATAGGAACAGGGTCATGTGACACATCAAACATATTGGTAATTTCACAAGAAAAACAATGGTGTGCTTGGTTTGAACGTAACTTTATTCTTTCATGAGTTTAACGCAAGGTTAAAAAGCAAGAATATTACTGCACTTGGGGTTATGATTAGGGTGGTGTAGCCGAACCAAACACAGTGAAATAATTTAGATTAATTTATCCATCATCAAGAGCTGTTTTGTTTTATGTTCCTCTCTCAGTTTCTAACGCTTCTCTCCATCAGCCTTTCCTGATTCCTTTGCCACGTTTTCTCTCCATTCACGTGCCTTTCCCTCCTCTCTTCAGCCTGAGGTCCAGATGAGCCCTTCCCCTGCCCCACCCTCTGATCAGCCCACAGAGGAGGAGTCCCTCGGGCAGCGCACCGTAGAGGTGGCCATTCCTAATGTGGGCACCTTTGTCATTGAGACAGAGGAGGGGGGGTACGATGACGAGGTATCTCCAGCCTGAACAAATCTCCTCCTCCTTCCTGAGCTCAGACGTCTGAGACTTTTTGATTGGTGGAGTGAGATGGTGGTTGCCTTTTCACAGGGTTCTATGTTGGGGTTTCTCACTGGAGGATATCTGGCTCTTGTGTGCTATTGGTTGATTCCAGACATGGTGTCAAACTTCAAATATGCAGTGAGACTGACCTCTTTGTTGGCCCTTTAATAAACTCGTGTGAAAAGTGGACATGAGCCCATCTGCATCTCTGTGCTGTGACAGGCTGACCTCTTGGAACAGACTGATGGTTACCTACATTGGTCTCATTGAGAATAAGCTGTTGACATGAATCAGTCACTTTTACACACCAACAAAGATCACACACACGCAGGGTTTTTTCTGCATTGAAAATGCATGGCGGCCGCCTCCAGCTAATGTTGTGCCGCCCCAGCCTGATTTCACTCTGCCCCCAGATGTTATTTTAACTGCAGTTGCAGCGTTGCGCCACTACAGGGGCGCTGTATCAGCAGCGGTGCACGAAAAGCGCTAAAACCGCTGCAGACAAAGAAGATCAAAAATAGCTTTTGTCCCTAGTTGGTACATATCTATGGTTGGTGCTTTTGACGTCCTGATTGTCCCCCAGGCTCTTCCATATCAGAGCTGTACAGTGCGACGAAAAAAACTGTCTGTGCGTGTCTGTCTATGTTTAAACGTAGAACTGGTGCAACATCTTTGATTTACTATTTTCCCCAGAACTTTACTGAACAAAAGTAAGTTACGTGTAAGAAAAATGCTTTTTACTGGCGCACAGTGTGGTCATATGGATGCAGTGGAGGAAAATACAGGAACCAGCAAAGGCAGAACCGGTCCAAAGTTTGGGATCAGAAGTGCGGCTACGCGCAGATTGGCTAATGCTAAAGCTAACGATCAAGTGGCGCACAAAAAATATATGATGATGGTAAAACTAAGAAAGACTAAACTCTACAAGCGGATGAAAAGTTCCCACCATCCTGTTTATTCTGCATCCTGCAGCGCTACGGATCAGAACCGCTGCAGATACGAGTCACATACATTACTGCTACAGTCTGCTCCACACACAGCTGCAGGAAGTACGGCAAGCCGTTGTAGTATATAATTCACAACCGCTTCTATCTTTGAGCATAATTTAAACTGGATTATTGCCAACCCGTACATGATAGACATGCCACCATTACATTGTTAGCAGCAGAAATTAAATGTTATTACCATTTCCAATACAAATGCAAGCTAATGAAATGCATTATATTTTACTGGATATATGTATGTGTTGTTGTGACTAAGATGAGTGTTTATAATACAAACCTAAAATGTTACTGAAATGTAGGTTAAACATTTAAAAATACGTTAACTATAAATATCAGATGGAAAAAGGAACTAAACACCAATCTAATGCATATTATTGAGCCTTTCATAATAAGAGTGTTATTTCAGCATGATCATTTTGTTTTATTTCATATTTTTTAGCAGCAAACCAGTTTTGTTTAACTTGAAACGTTGTCAAATGGAATATTCAATTAGTAACAGAAGCTCAGATTAGAACACTTAACGACAAAATATTTAGCCTCTAAAACAATGAGGCAGTTGAATGCACAGAGAATGCATGTGCCGGCGCACAGTCAGGATGGTACCACCTCTGCCTCAGTTTGAGCCAGGAAAAACCTCTGCACACGTGATGCATGAACTTTTCATGAAAATGAGATACCCCGTTTATTGAATGGGACTTGGTTCTAGCGAGAACTGGATTTCCTTTGAAGAGCCAATATTGATGTCTGTCTCTCTGCATTGTTGGCTGTCTATTTCACATCTTTATGACCTGGCCGGTCTTCATGCATTATTATCCCAGAGAGGTTTGTTCATTTGGCCGTTGGACTCAGGCTGTGTCCCTCTAACCAATGCATGGATGGCTGGGTGACCTTTGGCATGCCCTAACCACAGTATGCTATGCTGTAGTTCCTGAGAACCAACAAACATTTACAGTTTTTCACAAGGAGCTGTTGTTTTGTTTAACATGGTTCCTTCTTCCTGGGAAGACAATGATGACCCCCAACATGCAAGGTATAATTATGGCCATTGGCAAATCCAGCAGCGTATATGAAAAGAATGGACCTGAGGCGGCCTTTTTCAAGGTACAGCTTATCTCCTCTCTCCTCTCCACTCTTCACATACCACCCCCAGCCCTCGTCTCCTTTTCTTTAATGTTCTTTAATCTGCATGATAAACCTCACAGCTCACCAAGGGAATCACACAACCACCCAACCGGTCCGGTAGCATAGCAGTGATGCTCGGTTGTTTTCTCCAGCAGCTCTGAGGTCTTCCTAAAAGACCAGAATTTTCTCCTCGTAAAGTCAGTTTTTATTGAAATAAATCATTTCACCTGCTGCGTTTCATGTTCAACATTTAAGCTAAGACTATTTCCTGTTGAGGAATGGCTGTTTGGTTCAAATGCGTGTGTGAAAATCACACGTGAGCTTGGGATCTGTAAGCACTTAGGGTGTCATGAATGATTTTCGCCAGATATTAGTGAAATTCCACATTTTTGACCATTTTATGTTGGTTACATTTAATTAGCTGTGGCGGCCATCTTGAATTGGGTTGACTCCCAATGTTTATTAGTTGTAAAAGAGAATCCCGATCGTGTTCCTGAGCAGCAGACACACATGAACCCGTTTCCTGGACAAGCTGCTTATATTCCTCTGACTTTATTTTCAAATGTGCTATAAAGGATTTTCTTAGTGAATTTTGGGTCTTCCCTCTACAACAATTGTCCATGCTAGCAGGAGTTGAGATTTTGTGGTGGCTCCTTTGAGGAATACACATGTGGAGATTAACCCCTTACATTTCCAGGTTTATTGAACCCAATGGGGTTTTGTCCCATGGGCAGGACGCTGGAATGCTAGGGGTTAAACTCCCTGCTAGCTACACGGCGAGACTGTGGGTTTGTTTACAGTCCAGAGGGAGGGATCAGGACTGAAGACTACCTTGATGGGGAGGAGCGGGTATTGATGGTGAAGCAACAACCCCAACCCCAGGTTTCTGCAGCTGCTGGGCAGACTGAGGATTTGCAGCTGAGACAGGAAATGCATGCTTGAAGCCAAAAAAACACTTTGGGGTGTATTTCCTGAGGAAATAAAAATGTAACACGGTCAACAGCTCCAAAAAGTGGATTTGGCATGATATAGGACCTTTAAACTACAGAGTTTGAAGAGCCCTTTTTTCTTTTGCAGACTGATGTGATTTTATCATCAGAGGTCAGTTTCAGTTTTCTACGTTGTCCATGGGCACCATTTGGGACCATTCTGGTGCCGTAACTCCTCCTGATCTCTGTGTGGAGGACATTAAGGTCCTTGGTGTTCTTTGACTCTGTTACGTGTTTGCTCTAAAGGACAAAGGGAGTTCTGGGAATTTGAGTGTTTATTCATAGTTTAATCTGTCCGTTGAAATGTTTTTTCAGTTGTAGTACAGCTTGTTTCTGTGTCTGGTCTCTCTGCTCAGGCCATCAAGTTGGAGTATGCTCGTCTTGTGAGATTTGCCCAGGAAGACACGCCCCCAGAGATCGACTACCGGTTACAGCACATCATCGTCTATTTCATCCAAAACGAGGCACCTAAAAAGATCCTGGAGAGAACGCTGCTCACACAGTTTGCTGACAGGAACCTGGCCTTTGATGAGAGGTAGATCTTTGCTTTTTACTTCCAGCTCATCTGGATCACAACTTTCTATAGTCGTTTTCTGAGTTTTAGTCCCAGAAACACTCACCCATGATCCAGTTGACCATTTGCACATGATGTAACGCTGCTCACGTGACCGCCCCCTCCGCTGTGACGAATGACAGAAAGACCTTTTACACACGTTGAAACTTTTATGAAGCCAGTCTGTTGTCTTCTATTGCTTTTATCTCGTTGCAGTAAAATGGTCACCCCCAAATAAACATTTTTTTGCTGATAAACTAAATAAACGAGTGTCTAATCGTGCTGCAGACACGTGTCGTCAATAATTTGGCACTTCAGTGCATCTTAGTTAAAATTTAAATATTCTGCCTAAAACTGACAGTGTTGTGCCGTTGTCAGGTAAAAACTCTGCACTATATTTTAATTTAAATCTGCCACTGCTATTGGCAAAGAAGTATGCTATGATGTAAACTGGTACATTATGATGTCACAATGCTGTTGTGAGCCTGAGTGTGTGTGTGTATTTGTTAGCGGCTCCGCCCTCTCGGTCTGCCAGGCAACAGCAATTGTTGCATTTTTCAAACATGAAGTGGGAGTGGAGTTAGACTCTGGTAGGGGGTGACTTGCTCTTTAAAGTTAGCTCCGTGGTTGACTGCACTATTACAGACATGGATGTAAACGCAACTCGTCTGTGAGCAGACAATGCGTCTCTCATTTGCTGATCGAGCGAGCGGAGCGCGCCGCGTGACAACCCGCTCAATTAACATAATTCACGGCCCAAATCCAACAGAACCGGTCGGGCTGATCCAGTTCCGGTTCTGTCTCAGGTTACAACTCTAGCGCTCAGCCCTGCAGTACCACATTAAGGCGGAACCACTTGGTAAATGTGGAGGACACTCACTCTGACAGATTTGGATCTGCGCTGGAGCCGCGTTAAAAAAACAAAACCACATTCCACTGTAATCGATTATGGCGCACTCTTCTACGATGCAGAATCGTCTATGTCCGCATCCCGATGCATCGATTATGTGATTATTTTCCTCAGCTCTACTCAGCTGTCACCTTCGCCTCCAGTTTAACACTCCCATAATTCATTGTTGCTTTTATTTAAAGATTTAATGGATTTAAAATGATTGAACATGCTCCTCCCATTCCTGCATCTAGAAAACATCTAGTGTGGTTAGGAGATGGTGTTCTGGTGCATACCTCAGCTCAGAGAGCCGTGGTGATGTTAACAGCTGAATCAGCATCTGATTTCTGAGCTCCACTTAAACAGATGAGCCTCAATAAGCAGGCAGAACATGGCTACAGCTGCTAGTTTAAATGGAAACTAAAAAAACAAGAAGTACAGATCATCTCATGTCTGCCTTCATGTGGTGTGTTTGTGTGTTCCTGACCTTTGACCTCTGCTGGTGTGGAACTTGTGCCAGTAGGTGCACCCTGTACAGATAGTTAGGATCCAGGAGAACCGCACCAGTGATGCGGGCCTGAGCGTAGCTGTAGTGACCAGCAGAGGGCAGCACTGCCTTTCTCCTAGTTTGCCGTCAAGCTGCAGGTCCTTGTGATTCATTTTCTTTATCTTTTGTTTAAATAAAATCTGTAGAGGTTGCTGTTCATAAATGATTTCCTTCCTCTTAACGCTGATGTTTTAGTCGTCAAGGAAGGTAACGGTCTTCACGTTTCTAAAACTTTGCTTGTTGGCCTCGATCTGTATTCATGAGTGAAAACTTGATTTCGCCTCTATTTTGAGCCAGATAATTAGATGAATGTGTGCGTGTGGCCTGGATAGGAGCCTCTGGAGGAGCGTTTCACTTCTGCTCTCAGCAGTTAGGAGTGATTCATTATGCCGTGTTCAGGCCTCGGGGCAGCGACCACCATTTAATCTCACCTGCCTGTCTCCCTGACAGATGTAAGAGCATCATGAAAGTGGCACGTGCTAAACTGGACCTGATTACGCCTGAAGAGGTCAACATGGATGCATATGAGGTGAGTTTAATTCAACTGAATCAGCGTCAGCAGCCCTTTAGAAGGCTTTACTGTGTTTGCTGTGTTGTCCTAACGCCTGCTCCTCTCTGGCAGATGTGGCATCAGGACTACAGGAACTTCCGTGAGACCACCATCTTCATGGTGACCGGGTTGGAGCTCTTCCAGAAGTCAAAGTATGGTGATGTGCCTCCTGACATCCTTCTTATGTCTAACACTGGACAGCAAATTAACTCAACCAGTGCTTTAAGTGGGCCGGTACGCAGTACCAGCACTTCTTATCTTTGCCTCTCAGCGTACCGGGACTTTCTATGGAAGCATACGTGTAACAGAAATCAAGTTATTATGCAGTAGCAGAAATTACTTTTCATTTTCATACGAAACTACCAAATTGGACTCATAAGTAAAATAAAAAAGCTATTTTCCAAACTGCTTTTTATTTTCTTTTTCATCACTCTGTGACTTAATGGCATGCCTGCAAACTTGTTGCTTTTTGGCTAAAAGCGCCGTTTTTGAAGCCGAATGTGGCGTTCACGTAAGTTGTGTAGGTCCGAAGAGTTTTTTTGGGGGGGGGGGGGGGGGGGGGTCTTCTGTCGGGTTTCAGTCACTCTTATGGAAATCAATCAGAGAAAGGAGAGGGGACTCCTCTTGTTTACAGTCTTTGTTCTAGTGTGTTAGTCACATGCCATCATTTGACCAATCACAGCCAGAGACGGCACGCTGCAGACGATCAGGCAGAGCGGCACTCGGTATGAGTGCTGTCGCTATAACTTCTCGCAGCGGTTTGAGCTTAAAGTTCATCAAACTGAGCAAAATCACCACTAAATAAGGACTTTAGCAGATTTACCTTTATAGATTATTTTCTGAGGCTGGTCATGTAGTTATTATTATTATTATTATTTTTTTGTTTTGGAGTTGAGTTCGGAGTAAACACAGCCAGCAGTATTAGTAACAGAAATACTATTTCCGGTAAGAAATGGCGGCCAGTATGCTTCAGCCGTTTAAAACAAACCGCGGTTAATGGATCTGGGCACCAGGAGATTTAAGGAAGCTGGAGGAGAAACACGTGATGAGGTCATTTCATAATATTGGAACATTTCTGCTGCAATAAAGAGTCAGATCAGCATTTTACCCTCAGCAGTGGTTCATCAAAGTATTCAAGCAAATAGCTGCAATAAAGCTACATTTACCTGCATCTGCGTCTCTTTCTAAACATTTAATCAGAACGAACTCATCAGAGCAGCTGCACTCATGACCCACAACAATCAGCTTTTATGGATGATTACAGCATTCTGGAATATTGGAATATGTTCAGATGTTTCCATGTTTGATGTTCTGAGTGTGAATTTGTCTCAGAATAATTCTTAAAAATGTATGATGATCCCTAATCATATTTATCATTTTTGTCATGCATAATTTTTCTTTACCATACCAGACCATGTTTATTTATATAGCACATTTAAAAATAGCATGACAGCTGACCAAAGTGCTGTACGGTAAAAAGGACAAACCCCAAGATAAAAACAGATAAAAGTTGTATAGGAGGTAAAATCTAAAAACATGTAAAAGAAACGTACAACAATAAAACACAGAGTCGCGATTATTTGAGCAGAGACTGTCTAAACCTCATGGTAGAAAACGGTTTGCATTTTGCTAAAAATCATGTTGATGAGTTTATTGTTTTATTCCAACTGCAAGTATATAAATAACAGTGCAGGTCACTACAAACCCCACAGACTGGCACATTGTAGTTCTCACCTTTTTCACACCCTCTGAGTTTGCAGGTATGTAATGAAAAGTATAAAAAAAAACATTTAAGATTTAATTTTCAAATAGCACTTCAGCAAAAATGTAACAAAATTACATTTTAAGGGTGACTCGCAATTAAAATGAATAAGCAATTTTCCAAACTGCTTTTTAATTTTCTTCATGGTTGCTTACTCTGTGGCCTAATGAAATGATGAAGGAAACAGCATTTTTATACCTTTCATGAAGTCACAGAATAAGCAATGATGAAGAGGAAAGTGAAAAAGCAGTTTGGACGATTGCTTATTCGTTTTTCATGAGTCAGATTTGGCAGTGCTAATATGAAAACAAAGTTATTTCTACTGCTGTTTAATAATTAGATTTCTGTTACACATATGCTTCCATATTTTCCAGGGTATGATGTGTATTTGTAGTTTTACCGGCCATTTACTTGTCGAAATCTATGAGATTGCTGAAGAAACATCTGCCCATCTCCAAGTAAATACCAGCCACCCTTAGCCCCCCCAGTGCTGTTGTCCCACCCCTCCCAATACGCAGAACACGCCCATAAGGGTGGCCTTATTTTGTGCATTAAGGATGCTGTAGCCTGTACCTTTGTCTGTGTCACACACACACACACACACACACACACACACTCACACACACACACTCACTCACTCACTCACCCCCCCCCCCCCCCCCCCCCCCCCCCCCCGCCGGCAGATTGTCTCCGAACACTTTATTCAGTCCTTCGGACGCTCCTCAATCTACAGGTCCAACTGAATTCCTGTGGAATAAGACGCCTCCTCTGTGTCTGCTACTTGTTTATGTGAAAGAGGACATTTATCACCTGCTGTTGTGCATACTCCCGCTGCCACGTCTGCTCTCTGCTCCCCAGCACGCGTGCTCGTCCCGGCAACAGCGCAGTGCCACAGATGCTTTCTGTCTAAATGCGCAAAAGGCGCATCATCGATGTGAAGTGCGCCGCACACACAGCGCCTTCAGCTCAGGCAAGAGGAGAGAAAAAAGCAAATGAGTTTTCTGACACCGTGCACACTCCTGCAATGATTGATGGCGCACAGCAGCTGACCAACCAGTGGTCAGATGTGGAAGAGAAGGCATCCAAACAGAAATATAGACAAGGAGCAAGCACAAGAAAGAAAACGTCAAAACCAGAGGAGCAGTGTGTTTTTGGGAAAAGAAAAGCTTTGCGGGCATAAACATCCCAGCAAAAAATAGAGAATGACTGTGTCTAGATGTGGGCTGAAGAATACATTTTACAGCAGCCCTCATTATCATTCATAAAATTCAATTCATTTTATTTCTATAGCCCCAAATCACGACAAGAGTCGTCTGCAAGCACATAGTAAACATTACAATACAGGTCAGGTCATTAAGCCAATCAGTAAAAAGTTTCCTATATAAGGAACCCAGCAGGCTGCACCAAGTCACTGACTCGTGTCAGAGTCTTTACAGCAATCCTCATACTAAGCAAGCATGCAGCGACAGTGGAGAGGAGAAACAGGAAGAAACCTCCAGAGGATCCTGGCTCAGTATAAGCAGCCATCCACCACGACTCATTAAAATGTCTTATATTGTTTATGATTCACAGCCTTTCAATCCATGCTATCAATTGTATTAACATTGGTGTATAAATAAATATGTAGGAAAACATGCATACATGTTGGACTAAGTCTGTATGTATGTATGTCTGTTTAGTGAGAGAGAGATGTTTCCATATTATAATATAATCGTAGTTTTTGTAGTCATATTTACATTAATTTCATTGTGTAATTTCCCATTTAGACCATAATAAATCTTAATCTGCTTGTATGATGGAAGTCTGGTCAGAACAGGTCATAACTTGTTCCAGCTGCTTCTGCTGAGTGAAGCTTCTCACCCTGAGGCTCATCTGTGGCACCAGAACACCCGAGTAGCTCAGCTCAGAAGTAACAGCATCAGATGACCTCATAGAAGACTTTCATTAGGAAAAAGGAGATGTGTTTGCAAAAGGTCTCGTCCGTTGTTGAAAGAGGCTTCCTAAGAAGTTGTAAATTTAAATGGCTGCCGGCACTTATTTTTTCCCACTTCAAGCACTGAACTCAGTCACCTGCTGTTGGGTGGACTTTTGGTTTTGTGTCCCAGCTTGTCCTGCAGGGGGCAGCAGCACGCAGCCCCTGCAGCTCCACTCTTGCGCGGTGGGGTCAGGGAGTTCCTTTGTCCTTTGGAAGAGTTTATTCTACAGAGTTCTTGGTGTTTCTTTGATATTTTTATCTGATGGAATATTTGTTTGTGTGTGTTTTCCAGCTACGTGGAGGCCCTGGTGTATCTGATTTACTCACACCAGTACAACAAGGAGCTGCTGTTAAAAGGGCCGTACCGAGGCCACGACGAGGACCTGCTCACTTATTACCGTCGAGAGTGTCTGCTGGTGAGGCATTTCTCACTTCTGACTGAACAGAGCCAAGTGGCTAGGAGAGCCATCTGTGATGTTGCCTCATCTTTGTCACTTCCTTTCCTCCATATCAGACTTTCTTAGCTAAATGACTCAGCAGAAATAACAGAGCTGGTCCTGAGTGTGGCTCTATCAACAGATTGCTCTGCTGTCATGCTGCCTTGCTTGCTTACAGCCCACAGCCTGGTGCTGACTGATGGGATGTGAACCCACACGCTAGCTAGGGCCGGGGGTGGGGGGGGGGTATGGCCCCATCCGTCCTGCACTGGTCCTGACCGTCCCACTCACTGCTGCACTCAGTAACCCTACCCCAGCATTGTGCTCATAATGTAATTGTAGTGCTAATAGGAAGCAGGAGGGCCAGTAAGTGTAAACGGATTACCATGAGAAAGGGGCGTGTCCTCGGCTGACCTCACAAACCTCAGCCGGACCGGACCGGCCGTCTCGGATCAGCCTCTGGCTTCGCCCTCACAGCTGTTTCATCTTCAGCTCCTGGTGGGACTGAAAACTCAGCCGATTCCAAACTGGCTAATAAAAGCAGTGTGCTCCTCCTCAGAGAGGAGGTCAGCGAGTTTGTCTGTCTGCTGATGGTTACGGGCCAAGAATGGAGGAAAAGCTTCGTCTCACTCTCAGGCAGTCGTGCAGAGAGCTGCTCTGATCCAGCAGGGGAACGAGAACGGAGTAAAAACCAGTTTGAAAGAGGCAGAAACAACCAGAAGAAAAACATTAACAATAATGGGTTTTTTCAGCTTATTACACTGAAGGTGTTCAACGTTTCTGAGACGAAGCTGCGGGTTTGTTGGACCTCAAATGTTGCGTTGAATCTTCATTAGTGTGACAGCTTCAGTTTAAAGGAAGCCGACGTGCTGCTAGGTAGTTTGGTATCGTGTTGTGTGGACACAGCAGTCCTGGACCAGAGGTAACAGACCAGCGCTGTCTGAGGCGCTCAGAAAGAAAGCAACAGCTCTCTGAGTTAAAGGTTAAGGCTTCAAGATCAAATCCAAGCATTTTCATGCTCCTGAGACCACAGCTGGCTCCGGTAATGAACGGGTAGTGTTAGGGCACCAGAGTAACCCCAACCACAGGTTGATTTGATGGGTGGGAGGTAGATAAAGACCCAAGTAAACCATCGGTTTCTGACTGCAGTGTTCTTTACATTCTGACTCATAATGAGTTGGATGGCAGGAGACCCAGAAGGGCTCCACTCCCGACAGAAGAAACACCAAAACAATGCATGAGGACAGCTCCTAAAGGTGTAGGGAGAAGGTCCTTTACAACCAGGAGACAGCATTTCAAGCTCAGCCTCAGGTACAGATCACTGGACCTCCAGCGGGATCCTTCACTAGAGCAGTCAAGAATGGCTGGAAAGGGAACAGTAGACTTTTCCTAAATGTTCCTCCATGAACCGGGATCTCAATCCTGTTGAACATGTGTGGAAATGCAGTGTGAAGATGCCAGCTTTCTGACCTGAGACAGCTGAAGGTGTCTGCTCAGGAAGAGTGGACAGTAGGGGAACTCTCATAGAGAAGTTCAGAGACCTTCAGTCCCATTCAGACGGTGCTCTGTGCTGGGGTGAAGGAGCTCTGGCTCTTGATAGATGCAGTCACTGACTATCTGTTCTTGTCTCTCCTACAACAGAAACTAAATGAACAAGCAGCTGCCATGTTTGAGTCAGGAGAGGAACCAGAGGTGACCTCGGGTCTCAGCATAATGAACGAGCTGGTGGTGCCGTGCATCCCTCTGCTACTGGCTCAGGACACGGAGAAGGACCTGCTGGCTGTGGAGGACATGAGGAACCGATGGTGCTCCTACCTGGGCCAAGAGATGGAAGGTGAGTCCTTCAGGGAGGCTCAGCCTAGAACAGGGGTTGGCAACCTGCTCCCATCAAAGAGCCGCTCTTAACCGTTTCCCACGGTAAAGAAAAACTGGGAGCCGCAGCGTTGTGGGTGGGCCTATCCGGCCTGGGCCCACCCTAAGACATCCGAGAGCTGCTTTAACCGATCACAAGTGACAGCTCATGTACGCCAAAGTTATCTTTCAACAGAAGATAATTAATAAAACGATTTGTATAAAACTGATCCAAAACTTGTAGCCCGTCTGTGCTGCAAAGTTTAGATATTTTTCGCCCCGTTAGTGGTTTTAACAGCTAAGTAAGTGCCGCTTTTTGATGCGTCACACACGTCTCCTTTTAAAACATGTTTAAACTGTTCAGAATACAAATCCAGGCTCTGTCTCGTTGGGTTGTTGCAATTAAACTTTGCGCTTAACGAAACTTTACATTAAACAATGTTGAAAAGAATCAGATCGGTTTGTGTTTCCCCCTTGTTTACAGTGACAAAGATAGCTCTGGGTACCCCTCCTCTCTACACCACGATGAGTCGTTAGCCTCTATTGAGATTTCATCTTTCCATAATGTAGCTTTGAGTGGGATTCCTAAGCAGGTTCAGTCTAGGCCACACCTTCCTGTGTCTAATCAACACGACTCAATAGAGGTCAACAATTCATCGGGGGTAGAGAGGAGGGGTACGCAGAGTGGTGTTGGCTCGTTAAATAACGACAGACAGCTACAGCTTATAAACTTGACTCTCCCATATTCTAGTTAGGATTGACAAAGCTCCTCGGATGAGAAGCGTAACGTCTTTTGGCTGAATAGCTGGAGTTTTTGACAGTTAAAATTGCACCCACATTTTCTAAGTTAAACACGTCTCTTTCAACAACGGTAGCTTCAGCCCTCCCCCTGTGCAGCGGCCGCAAACTCACTGGTGCTCCTGCAGCCTCTCAGAGTTTCTGTTGATCCAAACATTAAAATAACTATTTCATTTCTGTTCCTCACTTCTGATTACCTTCCATGGTGTCTGTTTGTTGCAATCACCAGGTACAAAAACTAACTTGTTTTTATTTGACTATTTTTCTGTCCTGTCTCTGTTTATTATCTTCCTGCATCTCCTCTCAATCCTAAAGAAAAACTGCTACCTGGCTTCATATATATTCACCTCATGAGTTATCTTTGAACTGCAGTTCTAAAAGATCTACCGACCGCTAAAACAGCGGAGTGTGCGCCGGCCGCACCGGTAAGGTGTGTCATCGGAGGACAAAACAGGTGATGCGCCCTGCTCCACAGCAGCGAAACGCATCAGGCACAAATAAAAGACAGAAAACATAAAAGGAAATGAGCCGACATGAACGATTGCGTGTTAAATTAGTTTTTGAGGTGGCGACACCTGATTTGATAATGTTACTGTGGCCGTGCTCAGGACGCAGATGTCTGGAGCGCGTCAACGATCAGAGCTTTGCATGCGCAAGCTGGTTAAGGTTAGGATGGGGGTAAGGGGAAGGTTAAATTGCAAGAGGGTAAAGGTCACAATTCGGTCAAATGCCCGTTTTATGGCGGGCGTCAGATACCGACGCTCTGGCACAGCGCGGCGCCTCCCAACGCGCAGGGGCTCGTCACCTGCTGTCTTTTCCGAGGACTGCATCTTGTCGGTCATTATCACGTGACAGCGACTAGTCTATGAAAGGCATAAAAAGTCACTACAGAGCAGTGAAATCGACTAGTTGATACAACCCCTAGTCACTGGGTGTTTCTCACTGTCAAGGCGCCTTGCTTACGAGGACACTGTCCTTCCTTGGTCAAAGAAAACGGTTAAATGGAACAGACTTGCGTCACATGACCACGGCGGTCACGTAACGTGACGTGACACAGTAGGTAACGTTCTATTTTGTACGTATTAGTTTCAATATAAATATATAATGAGCATTTTACTATTTCAATTGTGTATATATTTGTTAAATAAAAAATATAAGTGAGTTACTACCCGCTAGCCACCAAAGCTGCAACTACTAAGCAAACTAACCAACCCTAGCGAACTTCTTTGGATCTAAAAACACATTTTAAATTAGTTTTCTTACTTTAAAACTTGAAATTTGCCCCCAAGGTAGCTGCTGGCTTCTGATCCGCTGTCCTTTTGAAAATACCGCGGTGTATCCTGGGAAATGTTTGACCAAGGCAAGGCTACAATACACCGCCCGTGTATCCTCCGCTCAGCTAGCTAAACGGCTAACAAACAGAGAACACACACCTCAGTAGAACATGAACATTGGAACACGTCTTGGTGGCTCCTGATGATGTATCTCCTAGGCAACCGGGGCGGGGCCAAGACATCAAGGCAAGGTTCCTTGGCATTGAGAAACACCCACTGTGTCACAATGACCACTAGGTATCCATCCACCCACCCATCCATCCTTCTATCTATCTGTCCATCCACACTTCTGTCCATCCATCCATCCTTCTATCCATCTGTCCATCCACCCACCCATTCATTTGTCCGTCCATCCATCCATCCATCCACCCACCCACCCACCCATCTGCCCAACCACCCATCCATCCATTCCACCATCCACTCATCTGTCCTCCCACCCATTCGTCCATCCAGCCATCTGTATATCCATCCATCCATCCATCCATCCACCCACTCACCTATCCATTAATCCGTCCATTCACTCATCCACCCACCCATCCATACATTCAACCATCTACCCACCCATTCATCTGTCCGTCTGACTATACTTTCATCCATCTGTCCACCCACCCATTTATTCATCCATCCACCCACCCGTCTGTCTGTCCATCCATCCATCGTTCTATCTATCTGTCCTTTCACCCACCCATTTATCGGTCCATCCACCCACCCGTCCGTCCATCCATCCATCCATCCATCCACTCATCCATCCATCCATCCAACCATCCATCCATCCATCCATCCATCCATCCATCCATCCATCCATCCATCCATCCATCCATCCATCATTCTATCCATCTGTCCTTTCACCCATCCATCCATCCATCCATCCATCCACTCATCTGTCCTCCCACCCATCCATCCATCCACACATCTGTCCATCCGGCCATTTGTCCATCCGTCTATCCATCCACTCATCTGTCCACCCACCCACCCATTCATCCGTCCTTCCACTCATCCATCCATCCATGCATCCATCCATCCACCCACCCGTCCTTCCTTTCATCCATCCATCCACTCATCTGTCCACCCACCCACCCATTCATCCGTCCTTCCACTCATCCATCCATCCATGCATCCATCCATCCACCCACCCGTCCTTCCTTTCATCCATCCACACATATATTGATTTATTTATGTATATTTTTTCCTCACAAGGAGGAAATGAATGCCATTGCAGCTGTTGTGGATTTTGATGATGAGAATCCTCATCCATCCACCAACAGGCAGGTAGATTGACATCAAAAGGGTTTCATTTCAATATTGCAATATCAAAATGAGGAGACAGTCACAGTGGCTCTACCTAAAGCAGCCCCAGGAGTGTGTCCTACTCAGCAGAGGCCCCCCACTCTTTTTATACCTCCCTTTTTATCACTCAGAAAACATGAATATTTATGGATCTGATGTCCACTACAGATGCTGATTCTGTGTCTTTGTTCCCTCCTGCTGGCAGCAAATCTGCAGGAAAAGCTGACAGACTTCCTCCCCAAGCTACTGGACTGCTCCACGGAGATCAAAAGCTTCCACGACCCCCCCAACCTGCCCAGCTACTCCACTCTGGAGCTGTGTGAGCGATTCAGTCGCATCATGTCCGCCCTTGGCCGGGTGTCCAGCAGCGGAAGATGAGCTGGGACGAGGCTCCGCCCCCTCCTCACAAGCCTGATCCTGGGCAGAAACACCTTGACCTCTAACCCTCGCCTTCCTTATCAGCCCAGGGCCACTCTTTGCTACTATAGTTTTATCATTAAGGTTATTATTAATTTTCCTCTGAAGCAGGACACAGTAGAGGACTGTTGAGAGGTTAAAAGTCACATGCCTGAATGGTGGCAGATGTGCTGTGAGCTTCAGCTGTGCAACAAACACATTTAGAGTTTTCATAGTTAACTGTTGCTGTTTGATTTAAGCTTCCCTGCCTTGCACATAGCCCCACCCACCCCCGTTCTGTGGAACAGATCGTCCCCGTTCTCTGCCACCAGTTTGGTACAGTATTACCATGTTTTATTTTTCTAAGAATGAAAGGAAGAGAGCCTTGAGACCTATGCGTGGCTCCAAGGGTCTCTGATGGGTCTCGTGTCGTTGTGAACTGTGCCAGAATGAGATGTTTTAAGTGCTGTGGTAGACGGTCACGGACTTCCTGTGGCTTGTTAATAAATCGAGAGAATAAAATTTTATTTATGGCCCTTTTAGGCCAATTACATTTCTGTTCTGCCTCTTGTTTTTACTTGAAAAGACTGCTAAAATTAACATTCCTCTTGTTGGTGCTGCAGGCAAGTAAAGGTTTGGTGATACCGAGGTTAACGCTGTTACAGCGAATCTACAGAACAAGCTAGGTTTTGAAGGCAAACGCGGAACACTCACCCCATACCTCAGTTGTCTTCCCTTGGTTCAGCGTTCACCCGAACCAGACAACCGTGATGCTGAATGGAACGAGATGGTGCTAAACACCAGTCGCTGTTTCTAGGTCCAAATGTCTTTGGTTGTCCATGACTTCAAACAGACTCTGGTAGTTTGTCCTAAAGTTGAATCGGTAGCAGCCGGCTGTTTCTCCTTTGATATTACTCAGCAGAGAACCTATCGCACCTGTGTTGTTTTGGTGCTACGTGATTATGTAATGAGTGGAGGACCCAGAGAAGGACGGTTATTAGCGGAGGTTTATATGAGAGAACCACTATATTTTTTATATTGTTTATTTAATCTTCATAATATATTTATGGATTTACTATGTAACATTGTTAAGAAGCATGAAAAAAGTTTGAAGCTAATTTGTTTTAGCTTTAGAAGTCTCCCGTAGTCGTGAGGCTGCAGTGGACTTCGAGCGGGTCATGCTGCACACCAGAAACAGGCGTTCATTTATCTGGGATCACAAATCTAAACAATAGTTATTGGCCAAAACAATAAGAGATGTTTACCCGTTTGGTTTAGTTTTAGTTGATGAGACAACAAGCTGGGTTCATCTGCGTTTAAAGGTCACGTTGGACTGTGGGTCATTTCTACACAAAGAATGAACACAGAATTTTCGATATCCAGCCGTTTGTACCAGAAGTACAACCTGAACAGCTCTAACCATGGTACGAGCAACCAAACCCTTTTATTGTTTAACATGGGGCTTAGGAGAGCTTGTCACATTCAGAATAAATGTCTCTGTCTACAGCTGACCTGGGGTAACTACCGGGCTGCAGCTTAACTATCTTCTGTTTTTGATTTTCTACTTGACACTGAAATGTTTCAGGTCAGCAAACACACCACATCAGACCCTGAGTAAATACAAACGGCTGCTTTCTGAAGAACAATCCAAACCAACTTGGACATGTGGAAAAACGTCCCTCCGTTAAAACTTTTACGGTATAACATCTCAGCAATCCCAAAGACTTGAGAAAATACTCTGTGAACAGATGAAACCAAAGCAGAACTTGCTGGGAACGTGTGTCCCGTTCCATCAGGAGTCACGTGCTGGTAGTGTGATAGTCTGGACTGCTCTGCTGCTTCACGACCTGGACCAGCTGCTGGAACTGATGGAACCATGGATTCTGCTCAGCAGGACAAAATCTGATCTTTGACCTTAACAACAACCTGAAACAGGATGTTCCTGCTGGAAACCTCCGGTGTAGCTAAATTCAACCAATAACAGTAAAAGAGAATCATTTCCAGCTATCACAAACAAAAGATCCAGGTTGGTTTGTAGAGATCTTCTTTCTTAATGAAAACATCTCAAGAAAAACCACTGGTGAAACAGGAAAAACGATAATCTGGTGCAAAAGTCCATTTATGTTAGAAATCCAGCTCAGACTGAGCATCTAAAGGCTTGGGAACCCTTTGCAGGTGTTATGGATTCATTAGCTAGAGTGTGACATTTTGAGTCATAAAAATAAATCTGTAACATCTTACGGACACTGGGTTATTTAAATCAGAAGATTGGAACTTTTTATTACAGGGACTTTAAAATAACACTTTGCATTAACTGAGAGACAAGAGAAGAGAGAGAGACTTTCAACGTTTAAGTAAATTTATTACTAAATAATTTTAAACAATTTAACAGGACTAACTCTCTAATGATGGATGTTGTGTTTGAATGAAGTGTGAGGTGAATGGTGTCAAATTCACAACCCTCGCATCCGGAGAAGCAAATTCTGAGTGGGAGATGATGTTTTGCTCCTAACTGATCAGAGTTTGAGACTCGTAGTCATAAACACATGAAACGCCATTTGTCGCATCCACATACCCTCAGTGAGACCTCCACGATGGATCCAGGATGCCAGGTCCTCGGACCTTCCTTCCGGTGCTGGAGTCAATGGCACAGCGTCACAGCACGACAAACTAGTCCTTGGATTGTCTCCAGGTAAAAAGCGACAGGTGTTTCACCGTCAAAAAGAGACCCTCCTTGGGTCAGCGAGTTCAGCTTTTATGCTGAAGGAACCGTTGCTTGGTTGATAACAACGGAATTTTCCCAGCTTGAATGGTTCTCGGCTTAGAAAGAGAAGTATAGATGGTGAGGTTTTCCGGGCACGTCGAACCAGGAGGAGACCTAAAGAGAGACCCAGGACACGGTGGAGGAACTACGTCTCTGGCCTGGCCAGGGAATGCCTTGGGATTCCTCAGGAGAAGCTGGCCCAAGTGGCTGAAAAGAGGGAAGTCTGGGCCTCTCGCCTTAGTCTACTGCCCCCGTGACCTGACTCCGGATAAGCGGACGAAAATGCATGGATGGATGGTAACAGTGATAGGGCTAAAAGACAGAATATATGTTTTGTTTGTGTTTTTTCTCATTACATTGGAACTTCACGTTTTCCCACATTTGGCAAGTTGGGATCTGGTCACCCTAGACTTGACCCGCCTCCTAATAAAACCCTTTTTTACATGAAAAAAAATGTCTGATGCTTTGCAGAATCAGAGTAGCTCCTTTTACTTGGATTCATTAACATTCCCATTCCTCCATTCAGGAAATAATGCCTGCTGAGACTTGGAAGGCCATGTATAATATTTATTATTGCTCTAACAGGACCTTTGTGCCTGCTGTGATGGTGATGGGGCTGGAAGCTGAATTCGCAGCAGGTCGGTGATTCGATTTTATCAGGAGACTGAGAGGCTGAGACTGAGGTGAGGAGGTGTTTTTGGACGGTTACCCAAGCTTCAGGGTGACATGACTGAGGATCAGTGAAGCTCTCCACATGTGCAGCTCTTTTTAAACATGAGTGTGTGTGTGTGTGTGTGTGTGTGTGTGTGTGTGTGTGTGTGTGTGTGTGTGTGTGTGTGTGTGTGTGTGTGTGTGTGTGTGTGTGTGACAGAGGAGACAGAGCAGGAAGGAACCTGGAGAAACACATGAATGAACTTGAAGAATGGGTTTTCACATGCAGAACAGCCACAATGCTGGATCCTGAATGGGCTCACAGAACTATCTTCTTCAATTCAAATGATGCAAATCTGTGGGATTGGAGGAATTCATTCACAAGTGTGTGTGTGTGTGTGTGTGTGTGTGTGTGTGTGTGTGTGTGTGTGATGGAATGACAAAAATCATTTTATCTGGAATTCCTGAAAAAAAAACCCCAAAAAAACCAAAAAAAAAATGTGATTCTGTACAGATCAGCCCTTTAAACTCCAATGTGTCTGACCCTCTAAAAGACTGGAGTAAATATTTCATATTTCTGATTATAATGTATGACGTAACATTAACACAAGAGCATGGTGAGGAACTGAAAATTCCACCACAACGTGACACAAAGGGTTCCTGTGTGCCGAGGAGGGATTTCTCTCCTCCTGCAGATCAATTAACCTGATTTCCCAAAACAGCACAAAGAAATAACTTCATCTGAGTTATTCTGTAATTGAAAAAAAGGACACAAGGGTGAGTTAATGTAATCTAGTGTCCTCAGCCAGAGCACTTTAATATAATTATCCCAGTGGTGGGAGGCACGTACTGTGTTGGTGTAACAGCAGCCGCTGGAGTGACGATGCTCTGTGTGTGTGTGTGTGTGTGTGTGTGTGTGTGTGTGTCTGACAGAATTATCTCTGTCAAGTGGCTGTCCAGCCGCAGCTACATGATCTCATGAATTACAGCCTCCCCCCCACACACAAAACACACACACACACACACACACACACACACACACACACACACACACACACACACACACACAGCATGACCTAGAGGTCAAGGTGCACTGACTCCAGAGTTTGTCTAACGGGGCCTCTTGGAAGTCTCGCCTCGCATTCCAGTGCCCCGAGGAGGGAGGGGTGGTTTTCAGCAGCCAGGCCTATTACTGAAGCAAGAGAAAGAGTGATAGAGAGGGAGAAAAAGAGGGAGGGAGGAAGAAGCGGGGGCTTGAAAGAAGCTGGAAGGTATTATAGACGGCTCGCCTCTTACTCCCTCCCACTCGGCCGGCGAGAGTTCTCCAACAAAGTGAAGGAAACAGAAAACTTAAACCTGCTCTCCCTGCTGCCTCGGCCTTCCAGCTGCCTCCCTCATTCTCTCCCCCACCGCGGCACGGCTCTCCTGCTCTCGCTCTCCGAGCTGCCTGTAAGAAGATCACTTTGTTTCCATTGCCTTTTTCTCCGCTGGTGCAGACACACATGGAGGAGAGGACTGAATTTGAGCAGATAGTGACGGGGGCCTGGTGGTGGGGGTTAGGGGTGCTGCACAGCTGCAAGAGTCCCTCCATCTCCATAGCAGGACTAATACTTCCCTCCCTCTCCTGCTCCAGAGACTCTCCCTCTGTCGCACTCTCTCTGTTTCTGCCTCTCGGAGGGGTGGGGGTGCCTACCGGACGCTAAAATCACTGAGAGTGGATCGGAGCCGGACCAGGAGAACCTTTCGTTCCTGGGCTCAGACGTGGGGATCTGAACGGTGAGTTCCTGCTTCCCCCTCACTCCTTTCTTTGAAGTCCACCAGAAACCTCAAACGCCAGAATTCAGCTGCTGTCTTCTCATCTGTCAGCTGTGTGTGTGTGTGTGTGTGTGTGTGTGTGTGTGTGTGTGTGTGTGTGTGTGTGTGTGTGTGTGTGTGTGTGTGAGAGAGAGAGAGAGTTGAGTTTGTAGGTTTAAATCAGGTTTTTCACCTCATGCTCCATGTTTGGAACAGTGAGCGGCAGTGATGAGAGGGTTTCAGATGAAAGTTCTGAGGGTCAAGGTGGAGCGATGCGGGGGGTGGAAGGAGGCCGTGTGGGGGAGGGGAACTTGGAAGGGTCAAAGAGAATGCCGCTTGCTTGGCTGAGGCGGCACCGTGACTCTGAAAACCGTTCCTGCTCTGACTTTGTCTCAGGGAAATGATGGAGGTTAGTTTTCTGTGTTCAATAAAGGAAAACGTGACGTTTGTCTCATTCTCTTGTATAATCTTAATCCCCGATACCAAAGTAAGTTATCACAGCTGCATGAGACAACACACCAACACTGCTTGGAACAGAGAAGGTGGATTGTGTTGTGAAGTCTCCATCCAAGATAAAATACTTGCTGCAGCATCACTGAAATGAAAGTTGTTGCAGTGATCTGTGAGGAATGTGAGATTTAGCTGCAGTTGCAAACGGGCCTGCAGCTGACTGAATGACCTCTTTGTGTGATTAAACCAACGGATCAGACCCCACCTCTGGAATCCTTGTGAACAACCAGAGCTGGTTTTCATTCTCTCCTATTTCAGTCCAACTGGAGGCCACGGACGCCGGTTTCATTTTTGCAACAGTTAAACAGTCTGGCTGTATGAGCAGAACTCAGAACCGGTCCCAGACTGGCTCGCTCCCTCGCTGCCTTTGTTCACCAGACCCGTCAGCGACGTAGAAACAGAAGCGGTTCTGAAGTGAGAACGTCAGTTTGGGTCTGCGGGCTGGTCTTAAAGGATGCAGAGACTCTGTGTTCTGGGTGTTTGCCGCCACCACAGCTCCTTCATAAACACGCTGCTGCAGAATCTAGTTCTCTATTTTGAGCATGTGGGTCAGCGTCTAATGAAGCAGCAGAACAGAAGCGGGCTGGTGTGGTTTCTGTCAAAAGATGATGGCTTCTCTGTTCCAGCGTCCTCCGCAGCTCGGAGAGACGCGGCGTTTTCTCAGGGGTCACTGCTGGATGAACAGAGGAAGCCTACTTCAGCTCTTACACAAGTAAAAGTGTGTTAATAGAATCCACTACGCAGAGTTGTGAGATAACCTGCCTGACCTCTGCAGCCAGCTTCGGCCTTAAATCAGACCTCCTGCGGTTAAAAATTAGCCCAGTCGTGTGTGAGCGCTGAAAAGGAAAAGCTCACTCAGTAGCTGTGATTCATTAGCTGTTAGCCAGCTGCTGACATGTGAATGACACAAGTGACATTGAGGATGAAAACAAACGCTCAGAAAGAAGCAGGCAGGATCTGACGGCCTCAGGAAACAGGAAGCCGTCTCCTTTCCTGCCTCTGCACCAGGAGAGGAACAGCGTGATTTACACGCCCAGGGACGGCTCCATGTTTAACCTGTTGGATGAATTTCACCAGAACCATTCTGATGTCCACCAGGCCAGAATAAAGAAGGTTAAGCTGGACCACGTTGGTGTATATCTGTCCGTCACAGTTTCACACCTACAGAGAGACACACTCGTACACCGTATATGCTGAGAGTCTTTTAAAAAACCCCATGCCTCACTCTAAATCCAGCTGTGCGTACTTCCATTACAACCATAATGCAAGTAAGGTAATTCAGTTAAGATGTTTGCATGACAGTCCCAATCTGGGTATTGTCTTACTCGGGTTATGATCGGATTACTGGAGTGCTTTAAGAGGACTGAGAGGGACCTGCTGGCCTCTCCTGTTCCCTTCACAATGCTGCAAGAAACCAGAGATACCACCTAATTTTAGATCTCCAACCCTCACATCACTGGTGGACATCAGAGGCTGAACCTGCAACATGGAACAGCAAAATAAAGATTTATCCAGATGACGACAAGCTAGCGCTCTTTCGGATCTAACAGCGGTAGAACACCATCTGGTTGCTAAACTGTTCCAGCATTTCCAGATTTTAGATATTTGACCGAATGAAAGTAATTGGAAGGTTGTAGGTGCGATCCCCGCTGTGTCCTTGGGCAAGACGCTTAGCCCGCCTAGCTTGTAGGTGGTTGGAGGGGCCGGTGGCACCAGTGTTCACCAGCCTAGCGTCTGTCAGTGTGCCCACAGGGTAGCGGTGGCTACATCGTAGCTCATCATCACCAGCATGTGAATGTGTGTGTGTGTGTGTGTGTGTGTGTGTGTGTGAATGATTGATTGTGCTGTGAAGCGCCTTGGGGGGGGGGTACAGAACCCTAGAAGGTGCTGCACAGGTCGTTTATCTTGGTCCAGAGTCCGGAAGATCAGATTTAACAGTAAATGTTTCACCTTTAGCTCCTGGGTCACTGTGAAAAACCATCAGCGTTCTGGTAGAAATTCACCGTTTCATCCCTTTTGACCCGGAGTTCAGCTTATTGTGATCATAAAACAGTAACTAAGTTTTAAACTGAATCAACCTGTGTGCTAGATTTGAGTGGAAAAATAGCGATGTGCCTGTAGAGGACTCACTGAGCAGGGAAACCGGTCTAAACTCAAGCAAACAGTTGTTTTTATCCGTGGTGCTTCCGGATGGATGGGGAGCTTTGTGATGTAGTTGTTCAGACGGCTTTCAGTGTCTCACAAATCCAACTTCACTCATTGTTTTATTAAGGCTGATGATTTCAAACTCATATTGCATTAAACAGAACAGGAACGCTGCCGCTAGCATAGCCTCACACATTCTTGCCGTGGACTCTAAAATGCACAAGCAAATGAGCAACATTTGAATCCAGACCCAGAGCCCCGTGCTGATTTTCAGCCTAGATGTTGAATGTTTTACCACAATCGTAAAACTTGTTTACTTTCCAGTCGTGTTTATAAAAGTCACCATTCCTGAGGTCATTGGTGTTAGCCTTTCTGATGGTTAGCATGAAATCCAGATTGATGTCACTCATTGCTGACTTACATAAATAATAATAATAATAATAATAATAATAATAGTTTTAAGTCAGTCTCTATTGACAGTGAAAAAAGACTATAGAGTTGTTTATCACTGTTCATTGAAATCATCTTTTATATTTATTGGATGAAGAAAAGTAAACATTTTTATTCTTTAACTCAGTAAGATGAAAACGTCCTGCAGAGGACACTGATGTAATCCACACATAAACACAATATAGACAGCGGGTCGGTCATGACAGGGATGATGTCATGTCTCTGAGGGAGGCCTGCATCTATTTCAGATGCAGATGTCATGGTCAAAATAGAGCAGAGAGCAACAGCAACCTGCAGAAAGACAAACCAAATTGTGTGTTTTTGTGTATATATATATATATATATGTATATATATATATATATATATATGTATATATATATATATATATATATATATATATATATATATATATATATATATATATATATATACACAAAAACACACAAAATATATATACCAAAAACACAAATATATATATATATGCATATATATATTATATATATATATATATATATGCATATATATGGGTGTGCTCATTTGTTTGTGCATAAGAGAGAGAGAGAGCTAGATGTATAGATAATGCAATTTTAAGGATTTTTGTAGGATTCTGGAATCTTTTGTCCTATTTTCTGTGAAGAGGTTGTATGATGGAAAACTTTAGTGATCCTGCTGCAGAAGGCAGGATGTGCTCCTGCGCTTAGGGTTTCTGATTTCTGATTAGGATTTTTGCTTTAAAAACAAACGTTTAGTTTCTAATAGAGCTGATACTGCCAACGTTACTCGTTATCTCTTTTTGTGTTTATGCATGCTGCCTGCCATTCGGGTCAGGAGATCAACATCATTTTGTCTGCTTCTTCTCCGGCCAACAAAGCTCATCCTCCATCCATGTGTGCAAGCCAATGGTTTCAGGACTCATGTGTGAGTGTGTGTGTGTGTCTGTCTCAGGGTTCCTAGCCACGGGACTGCCTTTGTACCGTTTTAAACAGCTCTTCTCCATAAATGACCCCTGCCTTTTGTAGCCACACAAACATGGGTGTTGGGGGGTGCAGAGGGAGGGGAGAGCACACTGTGCTCAGAGGCACACTGGAACATGGCTCCCATACATTCAGCGTTTCCTCTCTGAGGGCAGCCTGGCGTAGTGCGGCACGGCTGCTGCGTCAGAGCGGTGCTGCTGTAGAGGGGTGGAAGTGTTGGTAAATGCAGACACAATGGGCTAAGTCAAACATTAGGAGAGAGACAAAGGACACTCCACTCAGGTCACTGGGGGACAACTCGTCCCATTATCTGAGGGAAGTGGTCTTAACTGGAGAGGGGGGCTGTACCCATCAGCAAATTAGTGGTCATGTAGAGAGGCTGGTGTGTGATCAAAGACTTGTGTGTGTGTGTGCGCTAACAACAAGCATGCTATCATGACTGTGTTATCATTGTGTCCAGTGCCGTGTTTACTCTGAGGATAAGTTCTTTCTCATCTGCTCTCAAGCAGAGCTTCGGAGGCAAGCCTCCGCTCTTTACGCATCCACCGGGTCCAGACACGATTTCACACAGAGCTGCTCTCTTACCGGGACGGCTGGAGCCTCGTGTTGCTGTGGTGAGAAAACTAAAGGTGTTGTTTGCTTAGAAAACAAAGATTTAACATAATATCGAAGATATGAATTATTGTTTATTTATTTCAACTAAATATTAAGAAATCTGATTAAATTCAGCTATTTATTTACCACTTAAGCCAGTAGAAGTGCTGTAGTTCAGTGCTGCTGCTTTATTCCTGTCTCTGGTTTGTTTATTGTGCTGTTCCAGGTTTAATGGAGTTTCCCATTCCCGTCGATTGAAAGTTGTTGAAATAAAAACTGTGAAAAACAAGAAAAATTCTCTCATGTAG